GAGGCTCAGGCACATTCATGCACCCCTGGCGGGTGGGGGTGGGGGTATTACCTCTAGGCTGAGCGCCATCTGCCGGATATACAGCATGTTCAGGTCTTCCAGGATGTGCAATCTGTCCTGCATCTCTGTGGCCCTCAGCTCTGCCCTGAAGCAGCCCTGATTCCTCCCTTCAACCCCCTAACTCCCTCGAGTCAGGCCCTTTAGGCTGCCACGACAAACTTTCTCCACTGCTGCTGACACCGCCCCAGGCGGGAGCAAGGGATAGAGGGAGGGGAAGGGAAAAGAAGGTGGGAGGGGAGAAGGGAGGGTCTGAAGAATTGACCGAGGGGAGGGGGGCTAGTGGCAGAGGGGCCCCTAGAAGACTTGAGCATCCAGTTTGGGTCTGATGGCAGCTGCTTCCCCAGCTGTGGAAGAGAAAGGGCCTTTCATTCCCTCCCTAGCCCCCGCCCACATCACTGGCCCAGTGGACAGAGGGCCAATGTGTACATGGATGGGGGTGAGGGGTAATGTGATGGCATGGGGGGGTAGAATGGGGATATTTTGCAGAGGGTGGGGGGGGGGTGGCCAAGCAGCATTTGGCTGCAGGGTTCACATGGTTGTTAAGAGTTCTCAAGGAGCAGATGAGGAAGGTTGGAGGCTTCCAACTGGAAACCTGGCTCTGGGTCGGCTGTTTAGTGGGGAGGATGGATGTGTGGAGAAAGTGAGGCAGCTACAGAGCCCGGGAAGTAGAAACGGGTGAGTCGCAGAGAACAGCCCATCCGCTCCAAATTGCCCCTCCTATGCTCTGCTGTGCCCCGCCTCGGTCCAACCCAGTGCAACCCAGTCCAGCCTCCCCAGTTACCTCACTCTTTTCCAGCAAAGAGAGGGGGCTAGGTGGACAGGGCCTGCATGTAGCTCTTTCCCCCCTGTACACATACTCCCTTCTCTGGGCCCCTTCCCTTCCAGACAGGAAACCAGCCCCAGTCCCCCGCCAGCTGCAGCTCTTGCCCCCCTCCCACTGGAGCACACAGTGACCCACAAGGTCACAGTAATCCAGGCCCCGCCCTATTATCCCGGGCCAAGCCCAGCCCCCCTCTCTCTCTCGGGTCCAGAGTGTCCTCTAGCCTAGGACTGTGTTCCCAAACTCTGCAGCCTAGCCCAGGCTGGCAGTTGTCTTCGTTTTCAGCTCCGCCCTCAGATCCATGCCCCGCCTCTTGGATCGGTCTAGGGTGGCCTCGACTGGTAGGAGGGGACAGCCTTTTCTTTCCACTACTTAAAAGTTTTACCCTAATAAACACCTCAGTAATTCCTAGACCTAGGGATTCTGACTCCTGGGTCCACATCGTCAGGGTGGGTGACCCTTTGTGTACAGAATCTGGGGGTGGCATTTCAGAGTAGTCAGCCCAGACCTTCCCAGCCCTTCCCTTCCCGGAGGCAGCTGTGCAGAGGGAGAAGAGTAGGTGAGGAGAGAGCAATGAATAGGGCCTTTGTTCCCAGGGGGAGGAAAAGAGCAGAGTTTCAACCGGAATCTCGGCTGGGGTGGGGGTGGGGGGATGAGGGAGTGGGCAGGTGGAGCCCTTATATGTAACCCTTTTCTGGTCGGGAGGGAGAAGGAAGCCAGATACTAGATAGGAAAAATATTACATCTTTTATTTTCACTAATCTCCGGTTTGCTTTGTAATTCTATGTATTTTATTTTATGCACTTTAACACATTCCCAAAAGGAGGTCTTTAAGGTTCACAGAATTCCAAAGGAGTCCATAAAACAAACCAAAAAAAAAGGTTAAGAACCCCCGATTTAGTACAAGGATGCTGTTGATGCTTGGTTAGGAAAACTGAGACCCAAAAAGAGGAAATTGCTTGACCAACATCACACAGGCAGCCAAATCTGGCTAAACAAGCTCCTCTAACTAAACTGAGTACTATTTCACCACACTACAAAACCGTCTGAGTGAAAGGCACTGACCCTAGGTGACTGGAGACCTCTTTCTGGGATTTTTCCCTCTTTCTCACTTAGTCCCCCAACAATCCACAATCAACAGTCTCTCTCTCTCTCTCTCTCTCTCTCTCTCACACACACACACACACACACACACACACACACACACACACACGAACCCTACTAGAAAGACAATATCCATTCTCCTCTCTGTCTCTGTCTCTCTGTTTTTGTCTCTCTCTCTCTCTGTATGTATGTATGTAACTCTTCCAGATAAGTATCCCAGATCATGGCTTGGCCATTTAGGGACATCCCTGGTCCAACTCCAGTCTTAATTCCTAAGAATGAACCCATGGAGAGAGCCTAATAATTTAGCAAAGATGGATAAGTGGGGAGGGGAAGTGGAAAGCGACTGGTGTCCCCTCTTCTCTACCACACTGTTATTCCAGCTCCTGGGGGTAGGAACTATTTACATCTCCATTTCAAGCATTTACCACTTGTCAATTCTACCTAAATCAGTCTCCAGACTGGATGTAGAGAGGGCTTTCTGGAGTCCAAGAGGATTCTAAGAATCAGGCCTAAGAGGGTGGTTTTGGTGTGGAGAGGAGGTTCCAGGTATCCTGAACATGATGGAAGGGTTACAGGTATGTGTGTATGGAGTGGGCCAAGAGGAACCAACTTCGGGGAAGTTTTGAAGTCTTAACTGGGACCACTGAAATGAGGCTCAAGCTGGATATTTTCCCTGATTGGGCCAGCCCAATCGAATACAACTTGAGGCTGGGAAAAGTCGGCCGGGGCCGCAGTTAGTGCCTTTCTAAGCCAACACCCTTGATACCCTGATTGTGGCACTTGCAAGGTCCACCCCTTGCCCCACCCCTTACAGGCGAAAGGAAGGGGGGCAAACCGTAGGAGGCGGCAAGAGACACTGGGAAGGGTGAGGAGGGTCTCCTACCTCTGGGGTGTCGCAGAATAGGCTGAGGCGAAAGCGGCCGCGTTTGAACTCCATCTCCAGGGCAGAACCCCGGGCTACAGTGACCCGACTCCGGTGATTCCGGGAAAACATTGTTCAGTCTAACACTGGACCGGACCAGACCCTTTCCCTAGTTCTTTTGTCCCAGGCCGCCCGTTTAGGCTTTTTTTGTCTGCTTGATGGATTATTTTTTCGATTTGTTTTCTGTTACCACCAAGCCTCGGATTTCCCTAATCTCAGTTCCGGACTTCCTCTCATCTCCTCTGGGCTCCTGTCTTGTCCTGCCTGGCTTTGTCCCGTCCCTTCACGCCCAGCCACGCCTGGCCCGGCCCCCTCACCCACTCTCAAAGCCCGGGAATCTCCCAGTTACTCTGCTGCCAAACTTCACCCGCCCCCTGGCCTCGGGAGGGGACACCTATGACACGAATGAGAAGGAACGCTCAGTCCAGAATTACCTCGAGAAGAGCCCCGCCCCAGAGCGGACACCTGAACCAACCGCGCATTAAGAGCGAAGTTGGTTAGAACAGCATCCAATCTGAACTAAGGCTTGGAGACTGTTTTTGGGGACCGAGGGGGAGGGCGGCTTACCTGAAGCAAGGGCGGGGCCAAGGAGGCTCTTTGGGCTGCTGGCTCCACCCTCTCCGCTAATCGGCAGGAGAGTGTCTCGGTTAGAAATGGCTTCTTCCCAGTTCCCAAGAGGTCCACTTCTCTGCTTAGGGACACCCTAGAGAGGGCTCTAGGATTGCAAAGCAGAAAGTGAAAATCTGGGAAGAAACGGGTGTGGTTGAAAACTCTGCATTGTAGGTGCTAATGTGGATGTGCGTAAAGGTGAACGCAGGAATGAGGGGAGCGTTCCTCTGATTGTGGATACATGTGTGCACGTATAGGGGCAGGATGGTTATTTATACATGTGTCGCGTGTGAAGTAAACAAGAATTTATTAAGCGCCTACTATGTGCTAAGCATCAGAGATACGAGGAAAAGCAAAAACAATCCCTGCTCTCAAAGCGCTCGCGCGAGTGTGTATTCACATAAAGACTTGGGAATGGGTATGGGGAAGAATACTAGAATCAAATCAGAACTGGAAAGGGCATTAGAGCTCTATCTTCTAATTCTACCAAGGAGAAAACTGAGGCCCAGAAACAGGAAGTGAAAAATCAAATAACCAGCTCCACAAGCTTTTATTAAGCACCTGTTTATGTTCCAGGCACAGTGTTAGGTGCTGGGGAAACAAATGCAGAAATGAAAGTCTCAACTTTCGGGAGCTCAAAACGTGAAATTTCGGAAACAGTACTGGTTTGAGAGGCTGTAGGTGGAGAATTCTTGTTTCTGTCTTTGGGTCTAGGTCTCTAGCAAAAAACAAAAGAAAAAAAAACACACCTATGCATGGGGTAGGCACCTAATAGTGTCTACAAATCTTAGTGCCATTTTAAGCTGTAATAGCTTAATTTAGTGGCTAATAGTTGTAAAACTCTAGCGTGGATTTAAAGCGGCACTAAGATAACACCCTGTATTCGTTGATTTGGAATCCATCTACCCACACCTTCCCTAGCTGTGTGATCCAGTGTACGATTCAAGACGTTCTGCCTCAGTTTTCTCGTCTGTAAAATGGGAATAACGACACTTGCACTTCCTACTTCACAGGCTTGGCTTTAAAAAAAAACTTTAAAGAATTATATATATATTTTTTCAACCAGCAAAAATCTGCCTTCGGAATAAGAGTTCCTCTCCAACGCATTGAGCACAAAACCTCTCACCCAAGGTTGCAGTAAAGAGATAGGTGTTTCAGGTCTACGAGGCCGTGGAGTGGGAGGGGGATTCGTGCGTGTGCGTGTGCGGCAGGTGCCCCGCCCCCGGGCCGCGGAGAGGAACCCGACGGGCTCTGTTTCTGCAGGGGAGGCATTTGGGCGTCGGGTCAACTCCGCACAAAGATGGCTGACGGCCCTGGGCACGAGCGGAAGGGGAGTGATTCCATTTCCGGGAGCAAGCTTCCGCGGGGCGGAAGGGGGTCGTTCGCGTGTGTCTCCGTCTTTTCCAGTCCTTATTAGCTACGGCTGCCCATGAGCAAGCTGTGGAGACGCGGAGGCGCCTCCGGGGCCGCCGAGGGGTCGGAACCCGGTAGGTGGTACTCGGGAGGGTTCAAGCCCAGGTGGGAAAGGGCCCGCCTCCCAGAGTTCCTGGGTCCGCAGCTGAGGGCCTGCGGGGGGCAGTGGGGGTGGGAGCCCAAAGCGCCTCCTCCTAGGAGCCCCTACGGGTCGGGCCTGGCTGGGCTGGTCAGACTGGGACAACCAGCGCGCGATCTCCATAGCAACGGGCACTCCTCCCCCCCCTTGGCGCCTCCTTGGTTGCCATGGAGACGGCCCGGCCTAGCCACAGTCCCCCTTCCATCCCCTCCCCGCCCCCCAGCTCCCGGGAAGGGCCCCCGGTGCCTGCCCAAGTTGTGTGCCCCGGTTGTTGCCCCTGCCCGGACCCCCAGCTAACGGCGCTGACCCCCAGGGGAAGAGCTGGAACTGAGTGGCCACGGCCACGGTGGCCACAAGAAGAAGCATAAGAAGCACAAGAAGAAACACAAGAAGAAGCAGCATCAGGAGGAAGGACCGGGCCCCCCCCTCCCCAGCACTGCCTCTGGCCCTGCCCAAGCTCCAGCCCAGCTTAAGCTCAGGATCAAGCTGGGAGGACAGGTCTTGGGTACCAAAAGGTAAGTGCGAGTGTGTGTGTCTCCAGGGAAGGGTAATAGTGTCATGGGTTCTGATTTGGGGTGGCAGGGAAAGGCTGGCTTGGGGTTTCCTTACCAAGAAAGGACTCAGTATCCTGGGACATTATGGGCAGTGCTGAGTTCCCAGATGGGTACAGTGTTGGAGTTGTCTGTCCTTTTGGGGGGAGGGCTATACTGCATACTGGTGTGGGAGTTCAAGGAGTTAGGAAAAGTTAAACAGGTCCCTCCTTATTTAGACTGGGAGGAGGATCTGGTTGATCTTTGAGGTGAGGCCAGCTCTTGTTTCAATGCTGTCTGACTCTCTGTGACCCCATTTGGTGTTTTCTTGGCAAAGATACTGGAGTGGTTGGCCATTTCCTTCTCCAGCTCATTTTACAGATGAGGAAACTGAGGAAAATAAGGTGAAGTGACTTGCCCAGGGTCATGCAGCTAGTAAGGGTCTGAGGCTGGATTGAACTCGTGAAGATGGGTTTTCCTGATTCCAAGCCCATTACTTTATCCATGGCACCAAAATGAGCCCAAGGTTTCTCTTGGGTGGATGACACTGGGAGGAGGTAGGAGACTGGGCTGGATGATACACTATTCATTAGAATGTGAGCTCCTGCTTGAAAGCAGAGACTGTTTTTGCTTTTCTTTGGATCCCTAGCACTTAGCACAGTGCCTGGTGCAAAGAAGGTGCTGCAATTCCCATGGATTTGACTTGTTGCCTTAACTTGGTATCCGGAATGTGGAGGGTAGGAAAGGAGCTCACAGGAGGAGCCAAGAAGGAAGGGCAGGTTTAGGTTAGACAAGTAGACATGGGGGGGAGGCAAAGGACCAGGTTGACCAGGTTTCTCACTGGAATTCTGGGGTGGGTCCTTCTTCTCCAGCGTCCCCACCTTCACTGTGATCCCTGAGGAGCCCCGGTCCCCTTCTCCCCTCATGGTTGTGGACAATGAAGAAGAGCCGATGGAAGGAGTCCCCATTGAGCAGTACCGAGCCTGGCTGGGTGAGAGACAGATTCGGGGGCTGGGGAATTAGCTGCTGCCCGGAGGCCTTGCTGGATTGGGCTAACCTGCCTGACCCCGCACGTCTGTTCCCAGATGAAGACAGTAACCTGTCCCCTTCCCCTCTTGGGGAATTGGCTGGAGGCTTGGGAGGCCGAGAAGATGAAGAAGAGCAGCGCTGGTTAGACGCCCTGGAGAAGGGGGAGCTGGACGACAACGGGGACCTGAAGAAAGAAATCAACGAGCGACTGCTCACAGCCCGACAGGTGGGTGGGGGGTGGCTTTTCCGAGACAGCGGCGGGGGAGGGGCCGGGGCGCCCGGCCGGCTTGCCTCTGACCATGCGCCCCCTCCTCGGTGTCCCCCAGAGAGCCCTGCTGCAGAAGGCCCGCAGCCAACCCTCGCCCATGCTCGCCCTGCCGGCGGCCGCGGGCGCGCCGGCGCTCACCGAGGAGATGCTGATGAAGCGGGAAGAGCGGGCCCGGAAGAGGCGCCTGCAGGCCGCCCGCCGGGCCGAGGAGCACAAGAACCAGACCATCGAGAGGCTCACCAAGACGGCAGCCCCCAGCAGCCGTGGCGGCCGAGGAGGCGCGCGTGGGGAGCGCCGCGGGGGCCGGCCGCCTGCCGCCACGCCCATGGTCCGCTACAGCAGTGGGGCCCGCGGCGCCACCCTGTCCTTCCCCGTGGGCGTACCCACGCCGGCCCCCGCCTCGCCGCCCCCTTCGCCGCCGGGCCCTCGCCCCCGCTGCTCCGTTCCGGGCTGTCCCCACCCGCGGCGCTACGCCTGCTCGCGCACGGGCCAGCCGCTCTGCAGCCTGCAGTGCTACCGCATCAACCTGCAGCTGCTGCTCGGGCTGCCCGAGGGCGCCGGGGCTGCCCCGTCAGGCCCCCTAGTGGCCACGTGAGGACTCCCGCCCTTCCCGCTCCCTTCCCCCTGCGACCCGGCTTCTCCGTCCTCCCCCGACATCCGCCTCGGGCTCCCCTTTTCCCCACCTCCTGCCCATGTTGAAGAGGGAAGCTCAGCCAATCCTTCGATACTGCTCTCCGAAAAAGCGGCCTTCTCTTGAGGCTCAGAACGTTAGTTGGTGGACTTGGTTCCCACGAGGCGGGACTAATGCCTCCCATTGGTTGTTGGTGCTGCCGATCATAGTCTTTGGGCTATTGCTTCTTCACCCTTTGTTTCTGGGCTCCTGTTGTCTGGGTGAATGGTGGAGACGCAGCAGCGCATTGGTCTCCGGAAGTGCTTTAGAAAGCTGTTCCCATTGGTCGAGCCTCAAGAAGCAGCCCTTGATTGGTGGCGATCTGACGCAACTCCGTTGCTGATTGGCTGAGAGGCTCCGAGGCTCGGCAGCTGTGAGTCCGGGTAGCGATGGCGGCGGTAGCAGCTATGGTCTGGACCGGGACTATGGTGGTTGCGGCCCGGAAAGCAGTGGCAGGCTGGCCGGCGGAGGAGGTGGCAGTTCCCTACCCGGGCCTGTAGGCAGCAGCATGGAGCGGGCCGGTCCGGGGAACGGCAGCCACGAAACTTGGGGGGCTCTCCGGGTGCGACAGGTATCGTGAAACTAATGTCTGCTGTCGCGACAGGCCAGTAACTTGTCGCGACAGGCGATCCCGTCATCTTCCACCTGACTCCTTGCTGGAACTGAGGTTACCCGGAAGTACCTTTTTCTTTGCTCATTGGGAAACACGTTTGGTGTCGCGATAGGTGTGGCCCATCTAGCTTCTGTGTATGTCTTTGTAACCCAATTGGTGTCAGGGCACAGGGGAGGGTGATGGGCATTTCTTGGGGAGGTGGGAGGCAGACATCTAGCCTGGGGGACTCAGCCCAGTCATCTTCGGGGGCTCGTGCGGCCTGCTCAGGCTCGCGGCAGGAGGTGGAGGGAACTCAATGTTGCGCGGGGGCGGGGATGTGTGTCTCTCTGGAGTTAGGAAGTGGCCTTTCGACCTCCCCTGGTAGGAGTGAGCTCCCCGTCCCTGGCTGTGATACTACCGACGCTGGAGCTCCTCCCTCTTGTTGACACGAAGCTCACTTATTGAGGCTTTCACTGCTGGACAGCTCTAATAATTAAAAGTTCTGTACTTACGTCCAAGGAAATGTGGCTTGTGCAGTTTTTCCTCGTTACTTAGTTCTGCTTCCTAGTATGGAGACAAGTCTTATTTCTGTTCTTTGTTACAGTTCTTGAGGAGTTGAGTGCCCTCCCCTTCACCCTCTCCTCCTCCCCTTCCTACTGTAGTTTCCTCTGACTCCATTTCTTCCTCCTAGCTTAGAGAACTGTGCCCGGGAGTGAACAATCAGCCCTATGTTTGTGAGAGTGGCCACTGTTGTGGAGAGACTGGCTGCTGCACCTACTACTATGAGCTCTGGTGTGAGTGTCCCAGGGAGCTTCCCATCCCCTTCCCCACAAAGGATAATTGTCCTTTATTGTCCCAGGGGCAGCCTGGAATTCCACAGGGATGTCTCTCCTTCCCCTACCCCTCCACTCCCACTTCACCTCGTGTCCTAGGAACACCTATTTCCTTCAGCTGTTTTGGGTCCTTCTCTGAAACTTCTTATGCATTGCCCCTCACCCCTCATCCCAACAGGGTTCTGGCTGCTTTGGACCATCCTCATCCTCTTTAGCTGCTGCTGTGCCTTCCGCCATCGTAGAGCCAAACTCCGCTTGCAGCAGCAACAACGCCAGCGTGAGATCAACCTGTTAGCTTATCATGGAGCCTACCATGGAAGTGTCCCTGGCTCAGGGGGCTCCATGCTTGACTTACGTAAGCCACTGACCTTAGGGTTTCCAAGGGGGTGAAACACTCAAGTTTCCTTATGCAACCTTATCTCACTTGGCCTCGGCACTGACCACCTCCCATTTCCTACATATCCAATCACTCATGGCCCTGGCTTGTCTATTCTGTTTTCAGGCCTTCTCACCTCTTTCAAGCTTCCTGCCTATGAGGATGTAGCTTGCCGCCCTGGAACTCCACCTCCCCCATACAGTGTGGCCCCTGGGCCCCCATCACCCAGCTCCAGTGACTGCACCAGCTGTTCCTGTGCCTCCAGCTGCCCCCCTTCCCCACCTGGTCCTCTCGGGGCCTCTTCCAGGACCCACCCACATGGGGTAGAATGGGAGTGTGGGGCTGGGATAGTTGCCCAAGGTCAACCTGGGGATATGGGGGAAGGGGAGAGTCCAGCATGCCCAAATCAGTCCTGCCGCCATCGAAGGCTGACTGGAGATTCAGGAATTGAGCTGTGTCCAGGCACCTGCCACGGTCTAGTTGACCAGGGTCCTGCCAAACTGGGGTGTGCAGAGCCACCCCCACTCCAGGATAGCAATGCCTGTTCCCTGAATTCAGCCCTTGCTGATCCTGTTCCCTGTGAATTCCCAGTCTCCCCTGAAGGGCCTGGGCCCAGGCAGAGCTGTGCTCTGTGAGGTCCTGGAACCGGGGCCTCTCTTCCCTGATGGTGTCAGCCAGAAAGGGGCTAGGAAACTCTGGCCCTAGGGGGAAGGGATTCTGGCTGTGGCAATTGCATATAGGAAAAGAGTGGTGGGTGCCCTTCCCATACACATACCCAACACCTCAGGTTTCCTTATTAAAGAGATTTAACTAGCCAGATGTGAATTTGAATTATTTGTAGCTTTGGGTTAAAGGCAGGAAAAGATTCAAAGGAGGGGAGTTTAGAAGAGAATAGGGGATCTTAATTGACCAGAAGTCACAGGAAGGTAACTTTTATTTTAGAAAAATAAACTCTTGACTTCACCACCACCTGCCACCAAGACTACTGGAGATGGGTGGGGCAACACCTGAGATGAACAGTTCCAGGCATGGGACCAGGAGCTCTGGAGCAGAGGACCCCACCCCCTGTCTCCCTCCCCTGCACCACACACGAGGCTCTTGATCCCCAGCAGCAGCAAAGAGGGACTAAGGGAATGGTGGATTAGTCAGTTCCTAGCAAGGCCAGGATGGGTGATTGTGATTTTGGGAAAGCTGGCCAGTGAGTTGGTCCTGAGTTGACATGGGAAGGGGTGTTTGGAGGATGGGGGAATCAGTAGTCCTCGGCCATAGCAAGGAGCACAAGACTGGTCCAGCCGTGAAATGGCCGAGAGCCCATGCCATGACCATCTCGATCACTGTACTGTTCCCATAAAAAACCTGTATCCCGGTACTGGCGCCACACATTTCCCACAAGGTTGGTTCGAAGTTGGGTGTGGAGTTGAGAAGCATGGGCTTGGTGGGGGCCCTCTAGGCGCCCATAGTGAGCCAGGGCACCCAGTGCTAGGTAGTTGACGTTGAACCACACAGCCCCTCGCCAGTATGGTGGGTCATGCTCTGAGTTGCGCCGTCCATAGAGAGGGCTAGAGGCAGACAATGATCGCAAACCAAAAGGACTCCATAATTGTCGGCTGTCTGCCAGCAGGTCCAGCAGGGGTCCCAGGTGTGGAGAGTCAGGGCTCAGCAGTCTGAGGAGCAGTGGAAAGAGACTGACATACCCCAACGCATCAACATACTGCAGGTGGGGAGGAGGATGCCCCACCACTCGTACCAGCCCCTGTGGACCCCTCGCAAGGCGAACAGCTCCTGTATGATTCCCAAAATCGGCAAAGGCACCCAACTCAGGGGCCCAATGCAAGGAGTCCAGACCATTCTCATCCTTCAATTTGGCTGCAAGATCAGCCAGCTCAGTCTCTGCCTGGGTCTCACCAAGCTTTTGTGCCAGTCGGGCCAGCACACTGGCACCAAAAGCCACCCAGCAGCGCAAGTCCAAATGCCGCTCATCTGGTGACGGGTGTGAAGCTCGAGGATAGTCATCCAGACCTGAGGGCAATGTCTTAGGGTTTAGGAGATCAGCATTAGCCTGGTCCCGTCCTCGCCAGCGGTAGGACAGAGGGAGTGGGCCTGCCTGGCTTTGTCGGAGCCAAGAAAACCAGGCCTGGAGGCGGGGGAAAGCTGTACGTAAGAAGTCCAAGTCAGCAGTGTCTCCACCGTCCAGCATGCGCATCACAGGCAGCAAAAGGGATGGTGGGTTGGCATGGGCTGCCCTCTGTACCAGGAAAGGCGGGGGCACACGGGCCCTGGCCTCATCTCCCAGCACCTGCTCTCGCCCAATCCAGCCATCAGCATTAAGCAGCCCAAGCCAGTGGCCCAGGGCCTCCCGAGTCAAACGTGGCTCCCATTGATGCACCACAAGCTGGTGGAAACCTTCATCCCACAGAAAGCCACGAGGGAAGAAGGATCTTGAGGGTACAGCTGTGAATAGTGGGGCTGGAGGGAAAAGGGATGGGGCTGCAGCTGGCTCCTCTGGCCCTTCATCCCCAGGATCTGGTAACACCAGGCCCTGTCCATAGAAATACCCAAAGCCCCCCAACAGCCCACTTAGGGCTGCCCGGCCCAACGCCTGCTCTCCTGAACTTAGGCCTCGTGCTCCCAGCCTAAAGGTCTCCTCAAATCGGTGAGTAAAGGCTGTGGCATGGGTATCCAAGGCCTGGGACAACACCGGCCCAGCCAGACGACCTCCAGGACGGGATTCCCCCAAGCCCACACTTCCTGATTCAAAAACCAGCTCAACTCGGAAGGGAGTCTTTAATGTTAGCTGCTGGACCACAACCTGTCCGTGCACTGTGCGGCCTGACTGAGGGTTTTCCCCGTCCCACTGAGAGGACACGGGGAGGCCCAGGTATCGTTCTGGGGAATCCCCAGGGGGCCGGTGCTGGAACCATCGATTAAGATGGCTCTTCACAGCTTCAGTCAGCAACTGCAGCCCTGGGCTGGGCGTCCAGAGAACGTTGTAGCTGTGAAAGACAAGAGCATACATGTCAGTTGGCAGGAAGAGAAACTAAATGGGACAAGGAAGAAGTATGAGGGGAAGGTTAGCAGGTGCATGGGTCAACAGGAAAGGACACAATAGAGAAATGGGCCACGGTCCCTAAAGGGACCAGAGAGACTTGTCTCAGGAGGAACTGTGGAGTCAAGCCACAGGGCTTGAGGGAGAGGGTGACCCTTCGTTGTCATTACCTGCCATATTTCAAGGCTGTCCCTTTGGCATTGGTAGGAGGAAGAAGGACTAGCCGGAAGTCACCAAGCTCCTCAGTGTGGCCATCGATGCCATTCAGTTGCCCCCCTGTCCCAGGATCTGGCCTCACTGTCCCCTGCCCATCAGTGGCCACATAGAAGAACAAAGAGAGCAGAGGAGACACAGAGCCCTCTGGGGTCTAAAAAGGTGAAAATCGGGGAACAGATGTCATCAAACACTGGTTAAAATGTATCGCAGCACCCATTCCCCTGGTTGTGATATCCACTAGGACCCCAAGTCCGAAAACATTATGTTAAACAGCCAAAGCCTGCCATGTGTTGGTGGTAGTGGCGGGGGTGGGGGGGGGGGGTCCGGGAAAAGGGATGCAAGAGAAACGGGAGCGCCTCCTTGGGAGAGGAGCTAAAGGGAGTGAAGGCGAAGGATTAGTCCGATTCCTCTACAAAGCCCCTCCAGGCCGTAGAGGCTGCCTAGCGCTAGAATCTGAAACCCCACCTGCCCGGCCCCTTCCTGCTCTAAACCTGCGAAGCCCCGAGTTTCTGGCAGGGCTTTGAGGGGCCTGACCTGAGGCTCGGCCGTGATCCTCCAGCTCCAGTCTCCCCCGTGGCTGCCGCCGGGCCTCTTCACAAACTCGGTGGTGAGCACGAAGGGCCCGTCCTGCAGCCGCTGCCGCCCGAAGCTGACCCCGTCGTGCAGCTCCCAGCCGTAGGGGCCCACGCCGTCGCCCTGCTCACACGTGTGCCGCAGCTGGCCCAGAGTTCCCGGGGTAGCCCCCTGCTGCAACCACATCAGGCCTGGGGGGGCACGTGGAGGAGCGGGCAGGGGTCAGCGGCCAGTCCTCCTCCGCCCCTCCCCGTCCTCCTGCCCCGCCCCTGCCCGCCGGGCCTCTCCCACGGTTACCGGTGACCGGCGCTCGAGGGCTGCGGGTCTTCATGCCGAAGTAGACATGCGGCCGGTAGGTGCCCCAGAAGAGGTCCGGGGCGGCCGCGGCGTTGGAGCTGTTGGGCGGCAGCGCGGGCGGCGCCGGGTGCAGGGTCACGGCGCGCCTCGCCCGCTGCCACGCCAGAATCCCGCGCCACGACAAGCCCAGGCCCAGGCCTAGCGCCAGCGCCAGGCCCAGGGCGGCCAGCGCCGCCGACCCCGGTCCCTGGTCCCCGGCGCCGCGGCCCCCGGGCCGCCGGGGCCCAGCGGCCGGCCCCACCCCAACCCGGCCCTCCCGCCTCCTGCCCGGGCCGCCCCGGCCCGCCTTGTCCGGAGCTCGAGGCCCGGGGGCGTCCGCGGGGGGTCCCGCCCGGCGCTTGCGTTCGCCCCGTGCCATCCTGGGCACCGAGGCCACCAGATGGGTCAGAAGACCGCCACACACCGGCAGCCAGGTAGACCGGAAGTCTACGAGCCTGCGCAAGCGGACGTGACGCGTGCGCCCCGCCCACCGGCTGGTGTGCGGCGTTTCTCCGGGTCGGTAGTGTCCTTGCCCTCCCTCATTCGGAGCCCCGGACAGACACAAAGATACAGGCAGAGACCGTAACGACTCGCTTTTATTTGCTCCATCCCTAGCCCTTACCCCCATCTTCCCGGCGGCCAAGGCCCTCAACCCTTCTCCCCGGAAGAGGTACGGCTCTTGGCCTGGACTCGGGAATCGAAGGCTGCGAGCATCTCTTGCACCGTGAGGTGGGCGCCGCGAAGGATCAGCCGGTCTCCGTCTCCTGGAGAAGGAAAAACGGCGGTCAAGCGGGGAGGTTAAATGGGGAGAGAATGCTGGGCAGTGGGTGCCGGGGTCGAACGCACCGAAAAGCACATCTACGCAGGGCTCGGAGCCGTCGTGCCGTACGTCCACCTGCACGGTGCAGTTGAGATTGGAGACACGCACCTTCTCGCTGCTCACAGCCTGGAGGAACTTCCTGCGATCGGGAGGAGAAAAAAGCAGAGGGCGTGAGAGGGGACCCGAAGAAAGCGGGCAGGGCAGGGATCGGGAGCGTCCCTTTACCTCGTCGCCTCTACGTTGTTCTCAAAGGGGCAGAAACGAACCAACACTCGCTTAACCGCCTGCAGCCCCAGCTTCCTCCCCGCAGTCCCCGCCATGGCGCCCTCCAGAACTGCCGTAGCCGAAGCATGCTGGGACATGTAGTCCGCTTCCAGAGCCCGCAAGAGGGCGGGGCCGTCTCGGCACGCCCACGAGCCCCCTGGACCTTACTGAAAAGGGCCAAGGGGAGAAAGGCTGGCCTTGGATGCGCCTTCCTCCCGCCCCCGCGGAAGCGGCCAGCTGCAGCCATGGGACGCTCGCGAAGTGCTTCGGCCTTGCCCTCTTTGCACTGCCCGTGCCAGCCTTCTACCATTTCTAGTGGTCTCTCCCTATTTTCTTACATCTATGTCTGAAACCAAGTTCGTTGTCTCCTCGTGCTCCTCTGCCTCTTCCTAATTTATCCCTGGCACCATTTCCCCACCCCCAGGTCAGGCTTGAAACCAGTCGTACCTTCCTCCTTTCCACCCCTTGGCCACCAACTTCTGCCCAAGTTCTCATCACCTTTACAGTGGCAATCACTCTTCTGCCTGCACTGTTCACCATCTGGGAGATGCTGCCAGATTCATCTTTAAGCCTCTGCTCAGATTTTTCTAATTTCTGCCCAAGATCTGTGGGACAAAGTCCAACCTTCGGTGGGGCATTAAACCTGGCCCAGAACCTGAATCACACCTACCTTTCCCCTGCCCAAACCAACATCACTGTTCCTTGAACAACTGTACCCCTTTCTCACCTCAGTGGCTTTGCTCACATCATTCCCTGTTTCCAGGAGGTGCAGAAATCATCTTTGGACTTAAAGGCCTAGTTTAAATCCCTTTCTTTATCCACTCAGCTGGCAGTCATCTCACTTTCATTTCTCTTTAACATACCATCCAGTGTGCCCTATGTTTGAGCGCTTGGAGGATACCTCAACAACCTGGTCCAACTGCCCATTTTACAGAACAGGAAACTGAGGCCCTGGAGGATGAAGTAATTTGTCAAGTGATGACAAGAGATAGTGAAGAGCAGTCAAGATTCAAACCCCAAGTTCTCCAACTCCAGGTCTTCAGATTTCAACCCTATGCTATGCTCCCTGTATTCATTCCTTTTCTTCTCTACTAGGCTGTGAGCTACTGGAGAACAGGAACCTCATTCCATTTCTCATCATCTCCCTGGTAACCTAGTACAAAATCATGAACAACTAAGTGCTTAATAAACGTCTCCTGACATGTGGAAATAGTACCTTGTTTGTGACAAGGAGAGACGGACTAGTTTTGTCAAGTTCAGAAAAAGCACATCAGCCCTGAGGTGTTAGGGGCAAAGCGCTAGAAAATGGGGGCAGCTCTTGGCACTTACATATGCAGAATTTTCTGGTTCCTCCCCTTCTTTTGCTGCAATCACTTATGTCTAGTCTAAGGCATGAGGTTCTCAATCTTTAGGCCCACACAAGGCCCGGACCTCCTGGGCTCAAATTTCTTTGGATTTGTAGCGCAGGGTCCCAGTGTTTTTGGTAGCTGGTTCTCAAACCCTGGGCACCTTTGGGTTCTAGGCTCTTGATACATGGCTGTAGACCCTGGGCTCCTGTTGCCTCTAGGTAGTGAGCTCCTCTAGATGCCGCTCCACTTCCATTCCAGACATAGCTCCATGCTTCCCCTAGTTCCAGGTTCTAAGCTCCTCTAGACTTGGTTCAGATTCTGGTGTCAAAGATTTCTAGGCTTCTTCGGACTTAAATTGTTCTGGTCTCTCTATTTTCCCAGTTTCCATGTTCTGTTATCAGGGTTCAGGACTAGTTCGCATGCAAAGAAAGCCAGGCAGATGCCATCGTGAGGATCGGTGCTGCCGAAGGGCCAGCCAGGCCTGCTGGCTGCCTGCCAGGTAAGCCTCAGGGCTGGGTCCTCCACCTCGAAGAGTGCTGAGAAGTTGAGCCGTTTGAACAAGAGTGACCCCAGGACGCAGGGGAGGTGGTTCTAGGTTCTCTAGGCTGTTGAGGCTGCTACTGGGTAGTTCAGGAGTCTGGATCTTGTTACAGGAACCTAGCGAGATTAGGGGTAGGGTGAAGAACAGGTTAGTAGATGAGTATGGGGTGACCGACAAGTTTTTGTGTACAGAAAAGGGAGCTAGGAGACAGCTTGATGGGTCCAGACGCCATAGGTATAAGTAAGACAGAGGCTGAGAATGGGTTATTTGTCCTGGGGTAGCAAGTGGGTCACTGTGTATGCTTATGTGGAATAAATACTGTGGCCTGGAGGTAGTGGTAAGAAACACTCACAACAGCATGGGGGCCCCCTGTAGGTACGGCTTCCAGGCACTGGCTGCTGCAGCAGACACAACAGGGCCCCATCTGCCCGATGGAAGACGCTGAGTGTGAGCAAAGCCTGACGAAGTTCAGGGGCCAGACCCCACTGCTCCTCTTCCAGCAGACCCCGAACCACTGCAAAATCCTGCCTCAGCTGCAGTGCTCCCTGCAGGCTGAGGGCCAGAGCAAGGTCCGTGCCTAGACCCAACTCTTCCTCTTCCTAGCCCATCTCCGTTCTTCCACCCCTGGACTTTCCACAGCTACTCCCTCCTCTCCCCCATCCCAGGCCTACCTGAACCGGATCTTCTGAGTGAGAATGTGGTTGAGCCAGGCGTCAAGAAGTGCAGTCAAGGCCTGTGTGAGTGGGGGCCCTTGGGCCTGGGGGGGCAATCCCTGTACCCCCTGCAGCACAGGCCCCAGAACAGCTCCCACTACCAACTCTGCATAGTCACTGGGGATGCTGGGGAGTTCTGGAGAAGGGGGGAGGGCAGAAAATGAAGCTCAGCAGTCCCTTTGTATGATTTGGGGTGGGGAACAGAACCATGGAGACTGAAGTGGGATAGGGAGAAGAGGCCACAGGGACAAAGACTAGACCAAGGACAGGAAAGAATGAAGGGGGAGTTACGAAGCTTATTGGAAGACTGGTTGCGGGAATTCTAGGCCCCGGGGGAGGAGTTACCAGATCGGAACCTCAGCCTCCAGTGACGACCCTGGGGCATATGGAGCTGGAAGCCCTTGGCGGCTTGTCGCCAACATTCTTGGGAGAACAGACACAGAGACTCCTCAGGCAGGATCTGGGAGGGTGAGGGAAAAGAGTTTTTGCGGCTTCTGCTCCAGCTCAAACTCAGACAGCTCTGCTTCCTTTTCTTTGCTCTAGGTCCCTGAGATGAGAAGCTCCTGTAATTCTAGGGCGGAAAGACGTGCAGAAGCTTAAAGGTTATAATGACCAGGCTGGATGGGGCATAAAAGACCTGACACAGATTCCCCTTTCCAAACTAGTGGCCTCTAGTTGAAGACCTCGAGGGGGGAGACCTCATCCTGGAGCACCACTCGTTGTGCCTAGTTCTCCCTTCTAGAGCCAAGCAGAAAAATCTAACCCTTCTCTGACATGACTTGTGAAGTTCAAATCTGGCCTCTAACACTTACTAGCTCTGTGACCCTGGGCTACCACTTAGCCTCTTTGCCTCAGTTTCTTTAACTGTATAATAGCACACCCCCCCTTTGCAGGGTTGTTGTGAGGATTAAAGGAATAGCTGTAAAGCACATAGTACAATGCCTGGCACATAGCAGGCAATTAATAAATCAACCTTTCCCTTCACTAATCACTTCCATCCTTCAACTGATCCTAGGATGTCAATAGCTTTAGTGGTTTCATAATCCTGGTCACCCTCCACCTTGTTAACATCCCCCAGATGTGCTCTACAGCACCCTTCCCAGCTCCCTTCTCCAGGACCACAGATTTCACTGTGTATGGATAAGGAACTTGGTGCCAATTGCAGACTAGGCAATTCGTTCTTTGCCAGAGTTACATGTCCAGGGTCACACAACCAGGACGTGAACGAGTGCAAACTATCCATGACCTTATTTTTAATGCTTTAGTAACTAATAAAAAATGCCAGTGAAGGACTCTAGGGTGCTACCTCCTGGCTACTGAAGTGACAGAGAGGATCAAAGGCAGGAATGCTCTGTGGTAAAAGTACTAGGGAGATTATAAGGATTTAGTGCACACAAAGCCAGGAGAGCTTGAATCAGTCCAAACATTCTGGAGACAACCTGAATTCTATGAGAAGTAATCAGTGAAGCCATCCCTTCCCTTGGACCCACAGATTCTCTACCACTGAGCACGTATCTTGATTCAGCCAATGACAAATCCCAAATACTGACTTTGTATACAGGCCCAGTACTTTCTTATAGTAGGAGAACTGGCAACGAAGTGGGTGCCTATTGGTTGGAAAATGGATGGCAGAGTAAGGAATGTAGATTCCCGAGAAACGGTGACCTAATGAAGAAGTCTGGGAGAAGTAAAGAACTCGTGTGTATGTGTATGAACTTGTCCCTATATGGACAAGCACTCTAATGTAAACAACCAGAAAGACTCCAAGCAACTCTTATTTTTGCCATTTTGTCATTAAGTAGACTGTCTCTAGCAAGAGTTTGTTTTCTTCTATTTTAAGCTGTGGGCCAGAAACATAGATGCTGTTCTCAAATACTGTCCCCTCCCCAAGCTGTGCTTCTCTCCTGGAGCCTCTTGGTGGCCCTGCCCCAGGGCTCTCCTGTCCCCAGCCTCCCTCTCCTTTCCTGGGCTGCCTCTGGGTCTCTGAGTGGCTCCTGTTCTTCGTGCTCTCTATATGCAGATAAAATGGAAGGCTCTGTTCTCAGCTATCTAGTCTTGTCCAACTCTCCCCACTGCTTCCATCCTCTATGGAGAGAAATCCCAGTCCTGCCTTCTCTCACAAACTCCAGTCTAGCCATCTCCAAATCCCCGTCTGGCAATGAAGTGTAACCTAAAAAATACTAGACAGATGGGCAGGAGATCGGGGTTCCAGTCACAGCACTATCACTCACTGGCTAAAGGACCTTGGATAAGTCCCTTCTCCAGGCACCTCGGTTTTCCCATCTGTAAAATTCTTTCTAGCTCTAAGCTTCTACGACCCTAGTACTGTCTGGATATAGTCTCTTAACGAGGATCATCTTTTCAAAAAAACAAAACAAAACAAAAACCAGCTGCCCTCTGGCTCCCTCATTTTGTCCCTGACAGGACATTATTTTCCCATTCAGCCATCTGCTCTATACTCAGCACCACTGGGATATAAAGAACCATGGAATTTACCAACATAAGACCATTCAGGCAGCCCCATTCCAGTCTCCAAAGATGTGGCTGTTTTCACAATGACATACCCCTTTCCCTCAATCACTCTTTAGTTCTTACCTGGATCTGAGCTGTCAGTCTCTGAATCTCTTTTCCCAGCTGCTGGTCCAGTTCCAGGACAGATGCCCCTTCAGAAACCAAGGCTGCCAGGGCCTCTGCCTCACACAGCAGAAGCTTTGGAGGAAGCACAAAGATTAGAGCCCAGACTAGATCTTCAGTTCACCTGCCTGTCAGTTGGCAGTCCCTATCACAATCTACCCATCCTCACATTTTGAGTGACTTCCTTTGCGAGATACTCACAGATTCCTCCTTTCAACAATTTTAGGTCTCACGTAAACACAGGAAAATTCTCCTTTGCCATACTCTTTCAAAATCACTCTCAATTCTAAGATTTCCCCCCTCCCCAGATCAACACTACTTACAAATGGTGACACTCTCACACACTCAGATCCTCAAAGTCATTTGCACCACCACTCCCCACCAAGGCTCCACACAAACATTCCCCTTGGTAACATACATATACATTCTTTGCCTCATACGGAGACCACAGCAGTCCCTTCTCCCCTCCTTGCCCTGAACAGGAGATACTCACAGGCAGTTCCCTTTGGGTCAGCAGCAGAAGGGGTCTGGGGGCCCATGAGGCCAGATGCTGCTGACATTTGCTGAGGAGCCAGAGGGTGGTGGCCTGAAGAGTACAAAGCCCAAGGGCTAGGGGTGGTGGCCCTGACCCTGAGGAAGAAAAAGGCTGTCCTAAGAATGGCACTTAAATAGAGAAGCCTGGCATCCCATCAACCCCCTGAAGCCCTGCCCTCACCTGGAGAGTGGCAAGAAACTGACCCCGGTTCTTGAAGGGCAGAGGTTAGTGGAGGAAAGAGTTGTTGGAAGAGGTCAGTAGTACGAATGCAGGGAGTGCCATCCCAAGACACAGGCATAATCCCACGGTCTCTACGAGCAGATCCCAAGGCCCGGCAGAAACCTAGGACAGAGGAAGCAAAAGGGTAGTGTTGGAATATGGATGATCTCATTGCCTTAGAGCTTGATATTACTACCTCCCCCAACTCACCTTGGTCCCATATCTGGATCAGTGCCTGTTGGAGCAGACAGTGGCACAGAGAAGTCAGCTCCTTTTCACATTCCTGTGGCACGGGTGCTGTGGGAAGGAGGTGGAGGTGGCCATGTGCACCCAGTTCTCATATAAATCATACAAATGGAAAATAGATCCTCCCCCATCCAGCACTACCTTTCTTCCGGGACTGTGGCCCTCAAGACCCTCTCTCAGGAGGGAGAAAGGAAAGGGTATAGCTGTCACTCACCCCCCTCAGTCCCTCTTGAGGACATGCTAACCAGTCAACTAAGAAATAGGTTAGAGCGCCTTCCCCTCTCCAATACTTTTAAACATTAATTCTCCCTAGTTACTTACCCTGATCCAGTGCCCCTCTCAGCTGCCGCACGGCCTTCTGAATGTCTTCCCAAGGGCCCAGTATCTGGCCAAGGTTCTGGGCACATGCTGCCCAGAAGAGACTCCAATACTGGCCCCACAGCTGCCGGGACCCTCCCAAGCCCCGAGAACCACTCCCTGGAACCCCAGTGTCTCCCAGCAGGCCCAACAACCCAGGAAGCAGTTCTCGTTCTTCCCGGCAAAGCTTATGTAGCTGGGTCTGAAGCTTGGATTCCTGGAGACCCATCCAGAGCCTCTCCGCTCCTTGTCTGCCCCGTTCCCTGGCCAACAGTCTGAGCACTCGACTAGGCGGAAAGGGACGCGCTGCTCTTGGGACAGCCCCCACAGCCACTGCCAGCATCTGGTGGTAGGCAGGGAGAACCTGAAGGAGTTCACTGATCTGGGACACCAAGGCAGGACTGGGGGAAGCCTGGCCCAAGACCTTCAGTTGCTCTTCAATGGCCATGTCCAGTCTCTGTATCGCTAAGCCAAGCGGAAGTACCAGAGGCCGAAACTGGGGGTCAGTGTGGGCCCTAAGGCGAAGGGTGGTCCCATGAGGGCTGTGTGGAAGCAGCTCCCAGCACAGCTGGGGCAGGGCAACAATCGGTCGGGGGGCTTTCAAGAAGCACAGCGTGGTTTGAAGGGAACGAACGCAGTCCCGGGCCAGGAGGAGCTCCTCGCGCTCCCTCTGCAGCCGCAGCAGGACGGCTCGGAGCCACTGTAGGGCCGCAGGCAGGCGGGGCCCAGAGAAGGCAGCCCGGCTCGCTCCTCTCCATGCCACCAAGTCCGTCTCTTCTCCTTCCTTGATGGCCCCATCCTGCCCCTTAATTGCCCGGGTCCACCACAGCTGACCTATGGGAGGCCACAAGGGTCCTGGCTCGAATTTGCCGTCTTGCCAAACGCTACCTGAAATGGCCACAGTCCCCACGCCTGACCCTTCGGAACAACCACGTTCCGTTCCGCACCTCCCCGGCTCCCGCCCCGAAGGCCGAGCGCACAGGCACCTCCCCGGAGCGCTCCCATTCTCACCTGGCTCCCCAGGAGGCGGCGGCCACAGCGGGGGCAGGAAGCCCCCAGACCCGGACGTCCGGGACATAGCGGCAGCGAGGTCAGGGTCAGGGCGGCTGGAGCGAGAACAAGGTGGCCGCTGGCCTAGCGATCAACACCCAGCCCGGGACAGGTGAAGCACCTGTCAAAGACCTCACCGCACCCACGGTACGCCGGCCTCAGAGCCCACGCTGTCATGTTCCAGGGAGGAGAACCCAAGTGACCATCCCAACCCCACTAAAACCAGGAACCGACCCCAGGCCTTCACCTTACAGCAACAGAGCCCCAACGCTCCGGAACTTTATTAAAGAGGGCCACGTGACAGAGGAGAAACCCCCCCCAACGGCCAGGCATCATGTGATCAGGGTCAGCACCGATTTCTGTGTCATGTTCTCCCTTCCCCTGGGAATTCCCTCTGCCAAGGACAAAGATGGCCACCCAAGCACTCCACAGGCTCCCTTCTGCCCCCAATAAAGATGGCCGCACAGGTGTGCCGTGACCTGTGCCCTGTCTCCTTATCACGAAGGCTGCCCTTGTTACGTGCCTCGTCGAGGGATCTCCCAGCCACCAACTAAAATGGCCGCCCAGGTGCGCCACAGCCGACGCCCTTTGACGCCCATGACTCTCGCTGAGCCTGCGCTTGCGCCTGCGTGCCCAAGGAGTGAGAGCTTCGTCCAGCCTCGCCCCGCCCAGCCTCGCCCCGCCCAGCCTTGGCCTGGGCTTTCGAGCCGAGTGATTCCCTCATTCTGCTTCCGGGGCATTGGAAGCGGGAGATGGCGCCGGTTCGAAAGAACGACGGGCGCTTGCATCTGGGTGAGGGGGTGTAAAGTGGGGGGGAGGGGATGAAAAAGGAAAGGCCAGATTGTGGCGGGGGGCGCTGATTTCCCTCCCATCTCCGGCTCTCACGTAGGGACCATCTTCCCCGGCGTGGTTCTCGCGGTCCCCCGAATTATTTACCTCCCGTTTCCGCTTCCGAGCGGTGGGGGCGGGGCCAGGAGAGGAGGGACTGGGTCGGAGGGGGGAGGGGGGAACGTTAGGGGAGGGAGGGTCGGATGATGGGGAGAAGTAACGGGGTGGGGGCGGGGCCTGCGAGCGGCAGTGCCTCTGACGGCGTTCCCCCTCTATCCCTTCAGCCTGCCCCATCCAGGACAAGCCTCCGCCTTGGGATGCGGACCCCAGGTTCTGCCGGGAGTTTGGGCCTGAGGATTATGGAGATGAGGTAGAGCCTCATAGTCCGATTCCCCCGTGTGAGCCTGGCCCCATTCCCTCACCTGTCTGTCAAGTGAGGATTATGTAATGTCTAGACCCCGTGGCGGTCCTCAGCCCCTCCTTCTCTGTTCTAGATCCAGATTATATTATCTATCACTGTGGCCCAGGGAAGGTATCCTAGAGGAGGTGTGACTCCGTCTGGTCTGGGTCCCAGATGACCATCAGAATTTAGAAAGGGAAGAAGCAGGCATCCCGGGTGTGACAAATGGCAGGAGAACTAATTAGGACAGAGCAGGCCCTGTGCTCCATCCCGGGATGTCAAAAGATGAAAAACGACCCAATTCTTCTTTGTGAGCTTAAAAGCTACAGGAAGCAGTAATCCTGTGGTCTTTGTGTACAGAATAGGCCTGTGTAGGAGAATGGTAGGGAATCAGTCCCAGGGCCGGAGAGCCTTGAATGCCGGGATCAGGAGCTCATCCTAAAGACTTTGGGGTGTCACTGAAGATTTGAGAGCAGGGGAATGATGGGATTCAAAGTGTTATTTAAGGAGACTAGTCCAATGGCCTGCACAGGGTTGGAGGGGAAGCAGAGACCAACTAGGAGGTGATTGCAGTAGTCTAGATGTGAGGTGATGAAGGTGTGTACTAGATTTGAACAGTAGCTTGTGGGGATGGGAAGGCAGCAATAAATCTGAAACGTTTCCAAGAAGGATCAGTAGAACTTGGGACCAGATTGGATATAAGACAGTTTAGTTATTTCTGCTTTGGTTTGTATTTGGATGGGAAAGAGTTGGAGTTCAAGGCACCTGGGTGACACAGCGGATAGTGCTGGGCTTGGTATAAGCAAGACTTGGGTTCTAGTCCTACTTAAGACAATTAGCTTTGTGGTCCTAGACAAGTCACTTAATCCCTCTCAGCCTGTTTCCTTGTCTCTAATATGGGGTTAATAATGGTACCTATGTCATAGCACTGTTGTGGAACTCAAATGAGATGATATATGTAAAGGACTTAGCATACCTTAAAGTCATTATGAAACATTATGGAAAGCTTTTACTCTGAAGCAATTTGTCAGGAAGCATGTAAGTGCCTACTATGTGTCAGGTACTACCAAGCACTGAGGCCTTCCCATCCCCACAAGCCACTGTTCAAATCTAGTACAAACCTTCATCACGTCACATCTAGACTACTGAAATCACCTCCTAGCTGGTTTCTGCTTCCCCTTAATCAATTCTGTGCAGGCCGTTGGACAAAAATTAAACACTTTCTGCCCTCTCAGGAAGCTTATGTTGTTTCAGAGGAAGCAACACATATACATATAGAGTATATAAAACTTAGCGAAAGCAAATATAAGGTAATTTCAGGGGGGAGACAGTGGGCACTGAGGGTATCAGGAAAGGCCTCCTGAAGGAGGTGGTACTTGACTTGACCTCTGAAGAAAATGAAGGGTCAGTTCATTCCAGGCATCTCAATCTGTCTTGGAATGTATGAGGTAACATGAACTAGTGAAGGAGAATCTAGGAGGGGGAAATTAGCTATTTAGGCTAAGAGGTAACTCCCTAAAATAATTATTATTTGAGAGAGCTGAGGAGGCAAAGTGAGACAAGTAATAGAACCCAGCAACCTAGGTCCATGTTCAAGTTGGGCAGCATTAGTCTGTAGTGGGTCAGGTCTTTGATCTGTGCCTTTCTCTAGTAGTGAATTAAATAAGAAGAAGAGATGCCAGTAGTTGAGATTATCCAAGTGTGAGCTATTCATGTCAGACAGTAGGCCCAGGATGGTGGATAACAGTATTGACGCCCCAAGAGCAACTTGGGAGGATGTGAAACAGTGAGGTTGGAACAGGGAAGCCAGAGCAGTGACCACGGAGAAAGCTAGGGCTGATAGGGGAGTATGCAGAGATCCGGAAGTGATGCAGGGAGAGACAAGTCTGATGATGGAGTGGAAGAAAGTGCTTCTCCAAAGTGGAATGGAACAATGCCCATGAAGATAGACCACCGGGCTGGGGATCAGAGCCCCACTCTTCCAGTTACGTTCTGCTTTTGACTCCACAGGAACCCCTGTTAAAGAACCAGACTCTCCTGGGGTCAAGTTGAGGACAGGAGCTCTAGTGGATTATGTTACTTCACCACCAGAAAGACAAGACCTGTTAAAGGGCCACAGGAATGGATTATTCATTCTTGCCCACTACTCCGGGAGCTCTGGGCCCCTGGATTTGGAATTAAAAACAAAAGTGGTACATCTCTTCTGATTGTGCCGTACTGTATGACTCCCCTCCCATACCCCCACCTTAAGGAGTTGGAGCTAATATTTTGAGGTGGGGGAGGCTAAGTGTCCCGATCCTTGACAGAGATAACAGAAACCACCTGTGCCTTCATGGCTTCCTGGCTGCTTTCTAGCCTACTTGGCCCCCGTAGGAGTCCCCACTTCAGGTTGGGTCCCAGATCCCTTGTCCTAGAATCATTGTTTTATTGATATCCCTACAAACCAGAACCCACACATGTTATTTTAAAGTTTATTTCAATTGTAATGATGTTGTTGTTTGGTGTTTTAGTTGTGTGTGACTCTTCATGACCCCATTTTGGGGTTTTCTTGGCAAAGATACTGGAGTGGTTTGCCATTTCCTTCTCCAGTTTATTTTACAGATGAGGAAACTGAGGCAGACAGGGTGAAGTGACTTGCCCAGGGTCACACAGCTAGTAAACGTTTAAGGCTGGATTTGAACTCAGGTCTTCCTGACTTCAGACCTGGTGCTTTATCCACTGTGCCACCTAGCTGCCCTTTAAATAGTAATAGCTAGTTTTTTAATAGCTCTTTAAAGTTTTCAAAGAGCTTTACAAATATCTCATTTGATCCTCACAGCCACCCTGGGAGATGGGTGCTATCATTGTTATGTCCATTTTACAAATGAAGAAACTAAGGCAAACAGAGGCTAAGTGTATCACCCCTTTGTCTTTTGCTCCATAGCTGTCCTTCAGGCACATTTGTGTGATAATTCAGAAGTATGACTTTGTGAGCTAGAGTTTTGGCCAAAAAGGAATGGGAAAAGGAAGAAGATTGTTTAAGCCCTTCTACCCACTGCCCAAAAGCCTCTGATGCTTGCCATGTTTGGGGAAGTAAATAGCTTAAAAAATCCCCTTCATACTTGATCGACTGACCAGTAGCTTCAGGTCATGGTAGAAGCAGAGCCCAAGGGCCGGGCAGATTCCCAAACTGTGTTACAGCACTTTTCTAACTCATCCTCAGATATCCTCACCAGAGATTTAGGCCAGGCACTATGTCCTGATTCTGCCCATGACCCTGTGACCCCGTAGTGCTCCCAGTTCTGAGAGGGAAATACTCTTCTTTCTCCTCACCTCACATTTGAAAGCTGGAATTTTTTTTTTAGTGCATCCTCAGAGTTTCCTACCCTCCCCTTCCTGGTACTTCTCCCAGCTCTCGCCTCTCTTCCTCCCTTCTAGGACATAGTAGCTTTCCTTCGGAGGCTCATGGCCCATGACCCCCAGGGCCGACACCAAATCCGAATGAATGGGAACAGTGGTCGACTCCAGCTGTGGCATTATGGTGAGTGGGTCCCAAGGAGCGTCTGGCAAGGGCTAGGGTATAGGCAGAGGTATTAATGGGACACAGTCTTGGGGAGATAGGGGAGGCTGGAAACCTCTGTCCTTATCTCACCCTTGTCCACATTTCCTTCTTCACAGACCCCAGCCTGGACAATTTCTATGATGATGATGAGGAGGAGGAACAGGGGGAAGGGGAAGGGGCCAGGGGTAGGAATAAAAGTCAGAGTACCTTCTGTGGTTTCCGAAAGTCCCTTCCATGCCAGTCCTGCAGAACTTGGTCCAGCCCCAGGCCTTGGTCCAGCCCCAGCCCCCCACGATCAGCCTTCTCCCGAGGCCGTCCTCCTAGCCCTCTTGGCCCATCCCTGCTTGAACTGGAAATGCCCCAGAAGCTGCTGGTGACTGAGGAGGTGAGAACCTAGACTGAAAGCCTTTTCCCTATCGCATCTATTGCCTACCTGCCCCATTACTCTGTACCCTGTTTCCTTCCCATACTTTTCCTCCTTGTGCTCCTCCATCTCTTTCCTGCTAGGAAGCTGACCGCTTGGCAGAGGAGCTTGTGGCTGAAGAGGAACGAGCAAAGCGAAGAGCAGAAAAGAAACGGCTAAAGAAGAAGGTGGCTGGGGAGGGGGCTCTTTGAAGAGATGGGGGGTGGGAGTGGGGAAGTCAAGGAAGGGCCCCATGCCCTCCAGCGAGGCTTCTTGATGGGGGGGGAGAATAACTGTGGGGGACTGCTTGGAGGGAAGGCCCTCACCTGGTGGGTGAATTGCAGCGACAGAAGGAGCGGAAACGTCGAGAGCGAATGGAACAGGAGAGTGGGGAGGGCAAGGTGAGTGTGGGGCCTAGTGGAGGGAAAGGATGGCTACTTGGGGAGATGGGTTCAAAAAGATAAGATGGATGAGGAGGCACACAGGATGCATGTAGGGGGGAAGAGAAGACACGGGGTTATTGTGGGGGCAAGAAGGGATAGGGTGAGTGGTGAGGGGCAGGGACTTCAAGGGGAATGGCTTAATGTGACACTGTTTCTATTGGATGTCTCTGACCAGGTGATGGAAGGGGCTGCAGCAGCAGCTGTAGCTAGCCCAGAGGCAGCAGGGGCAAGCAACCTTACCTCCAGCCCCCAGAGCCCTAGTCAGGGTAGCAGCAATGAGGAGGTGAGAACTCTTTCCTTCCTTCTCCCTGGTCCTCCCAAGTTTTCTTTCTCATGCCCCACAGCTTCCCTATACCCCTCACCTCAGCTGTGACAATCACTGATTTCTTCCTTACCTATAGGAAGAATTGGATTTGTCAAGCACCTTTGTGTCTCAAGCCTGGCGCAAGGTCGGGGACAGGCCTCCTAATTCCCGGAGAGAGAGAGGGTCGAGCCCTGAGCCCCCCACCTGGAACCGACAGAGTCAGAGCCCACCGGAAGGGAGCCGGAGTCAGAGTCCTCAGCCAGAGGTGAGGTCATAGTGAGGGCTGGGACAGGTTAGAAGGGGAGGACCTGGGAGGAAGGGTAACCATACAGATTGGACTCTCTAGAGTAGACGGAGAGCTCGTTCTTTAGAGGAAGGCCATTTGCTGAGAGCTCCCTCTTCTCCCCTCCTCCTCATTTCACATCATCCAAAAGCCTTCTGCCACTATCTCCTACTTCCCCCTGTCTCCCATGCCTTGGCAGACCCCTCTACATGCGCAAGTGATCCCACTCTGTCCCACCTTCTCCAGCAGATTTCCCCTCCCTCATTTATCTTCAGTCTCTCCTTGTCTTCTGGATGCTTCCCTACTGCCCACAAACATGTCCATGTCTCCCTCATCCTCAGGAAACCTTTACTTAATCCATCCATCCCTGCTAGCTGTCATCTCAAGCCATCTACACACAGTAGGGTCCTCCACTTTTCTAACTCTCACAGTCTTCTTAACGCTCAACAGCCTGGCTTCTGACTTCATCATTCAATCAAAACTGCTCTCTCCAAAGTTACTAATGATCTCTTAATTGCCAACTCTAATGGCCTTTTCTCAATCCTCATCCGTCTTGACCTGGGCCTTTGACACCTTTTCCTTGATACTCTCTTCTCTCTAGGTTTTCGAGACACTACTCTGTCCTGGTTCTCCTCCTAACCATTTGACCGCTCCTTCTCAGTCTCCTTTGCTGGATCTTCCTCCAGGTCATGCCAGATATCAGTGGGGATCCCCAAAGGCTCTATCCTGGGCCCTTTTCTCTTCTTCCTCTATACTGTTTCACTTGGTGATCTCATCAGATTCATGGATTCAATTATCATCTCTGTGCTATTGATTCTCAAATCTGCTTATTCAGCCCTCACCTCTCTGCTGACCTCCAGTCTTGCATCTCCAGCTACCTATGAGAAATCTTGAAATGGATGTCCTATAGATGTCTTAAACTCAACATGTCCAAAACTAAGTTCATTTATCATTTCCCCAAATCCTGCCCTCTTCCACACTTCCTATTACTGTGGAGGGTACCACCATCCTCCCAGTGTTATCCTCAATTCCCCACTCTCTTATCTCAAACCTCCCCCTCATATCCAGTTGGTTACCAAGGCCCATCGATTCTACCTTTGCAACACCTCTCCAATGTACTCCCTTCTCTCCTCTGACACTGCCACGGCCCTGGCACAGCCTGAGACCATTGCAGTAGCCCTATGTTTGGTCTCCCTGACACCAGTCAGTCCATACTCCAGTCTGTCCTCTGCCTCGCTGTCCAAGTGGTCTTCCTAAAGGGAAGGTATGACCGTGTCACCCCGATACTCAGGGCACTCCAGCAGCTCCCATTCATCTCCAGGGACCAATGTAAAATCCTTTGTTTTTCGTTCAAAGCCATTCATAACCTCCCTCGCCCCCTTTTCCACTGCTCTTAAACCTAACCACCACTGCCCCCTGCACACACACGTGTGGATCCAGTGACACTGGCCGCCTTGCTGTTCCTTGAAAAAGGCACTCCGTGTCCTTCAGGCATTTCTACTAGCCATCTTCCATGCCTGGAATGCTCTCTGTCTGCATTTCTGCCTCCTGACTTCCCTGGCTTCCTTCTTATCCCAGCTAGAATCCCACCTCGTACAGGAAGCCTTTCCTGATCCCCCTTAATTCTAGCGCTTTCCCTCTGTTGATTATTTCCAGCTATTCCTGTATATAGCTTGTTTGTACAGAGGGGTTGGCATGTTGTCTCCCTCATTAGACTGTAAGCTCCTGCAGAGCAGGCACTGTCTTTTGCCTCTCTTTGTATCCCTAGCGCTTAGCATAGTGCCCTGCATATAGTAGGCGCTTAGTAAGTGTTTATTGACTGACTGACTGGGACTGGAGATGGAGTGCAGCAACCTGCTCCAGTTGATATCTCTATCTCTAGGCACTCCCTGGATTACAGGCAGCTGCCGTAAGGCAGAGCCAAGAGCTGGCAGGTAAGATTTTCCCCCAATACTGTATCCACCTAGTTCCTGCTGTCAGGGAGTCCCTGGTCTGGTAGGGGACACCAGTGTCCCTAGATCTCCTACTTGGTTGAAGGAGCTGTACCTCATGACTGTGGTACTAGAGGATGTCTAGTCTAGCCCTCTCAAGCAGCTCACTCCCAGAAAGATGAAGGTGACCTGCCAAAGGGAATAAGTGGCTGAGCTAGAATTCATACCCTGAATCCAGATCCAGCCCTTTCCCCATTAAGTCGTGAAGCCTCCAGGCAGATGTTTTGATGGGAAGAAAATGAAACCTGCTCAAAGGGAACTTCTAATTAGATATGGGAACTGTGAGCACTGTTCCCAAGAAACTCTCGGTCAGAACAGGGAGCCCTCGTCCCAACTGAGCCCTGATCTCCTTCCATAGAGCTGGGTACAGCTGCAGCCTGGAGGGGCATGTATCAGGAAGCTGTGCTCCTCTTCACGAAGGCTATAAAGCTCAACCCTCGGGATTACAGGTGTGTGGGGACTGTGGTAGAGTGTGGAATGGCTTGGGCTGGGTTGGAGGAACTGGGGTGGAAGGAGAATGGCTTAGGAGGCTACCCTGACCTCTGGTTCCTGTGTGTCACCTACAGACTCTTTGGGAATCGGTCATTCTGCCATGAGCGTCTGGGCCAACCTGGCTGGGCCCTGGGGGATGCAAGAGTTGCCCTCAACCTTCGACCACAATGGCCCCAGGGCCTGTTCCAGTTGGGCAAGGCTCTGGTGGGCCTGCAGGTATTGGGGACAAGGAAGGGAGGAGGGGCCGGAAGGGACGAGGGTTTTGGCTTAGGGTGAGATAAGTATTTGTTGACTTGACTGACACAGAGGTTCAAGGAAGCAGCTGATGTATTCCGAGAGACTTTGGCCATGGATAAGTCCCAACCAGATGCTGTACATGAACTTCAGCAGTGCCTCCTCCAGCTTACTCTGGTGAGGGGCCATGTAAAGCAGAGCCCTCCTAAGTGCCCCCTCCATCTGACCCTAGGGCAGCCTGAAAGGGGAGTCTTGGGGGGAAGTACAGACTGGCTGCACAGAGCCAGACCCTCCTCTGTGCATAATTTCCTCCCTCCCTACAAACTGAATCTGGGGGAAGGAGAATAGAAAGGTTGGTAACTGAGGGGTTCTGAGGAAATAGGGCTAGTTTTAGGGCTAGTTGGGGTGTTGGTGGGGAGGTAGGAAATGACACAGAGTATGGTTTTCTGAAAACATTTAATCCTCATCTGACCCTGGAACAACTTGTTGGATCAGGGAGTGGTGTGGAAAGGAAGTAACAAAAGAGGACCCATGGGGAGTGAGGAAATGGAATAGTGATGGGGAGATTCTCTCTCAGCAGGAGCATCAAGGGGGAATCCATGGTGCAGCTTTGAAACCCAGGCCCCCACAGCAGTTTCCCCACTCTCAGGCTGGGGCCCAGGGATTGCTTCCCTTAAATCATTTTGCTGCAGTATCCCCTCGGATCCAGGGCCTTCTGCCTCCCCCACGGCTTCCCTCTGCTCTCTGGCCCATCACCCAGGCTCAGAGTGGAAGTTTCTGGTCCACCCAGCTTCAGGATTTCAGCAAGGCAAGGGGCATCCTAGGACAGCCACCACGCCCGCCTCTGTCCAGGTGAGGGCCTTCCTGTCTATCTGTGTGTTTGCCTGTCCACCGAAGAGGGTGCCTCTGCCTCTGTCCATCGCTGTGGGCAGGTTTGTAATGTCTGTTCCCCACTTATCATGACACGAGGGAGATGGCAGTTCCCTGTACATCTAATAGGATAGGACTCATTGCTTTTCTCCCAAGAGAGGGGAACCTAATATCCATAGTCAGCCCTGCTCTTAAACTCTGGCACATGTAGTTGGCCATCTTGGAACTCACTTTGGTAGGGACAGTTGCTAGGTTCTGAGTAGCACAAACTGGAACCCACCATAATCCAGGTCATTTGTTCAGAGGTGCTATTAGCCTAGAGATTGGCTTAGGGTAGATTCTCAGTTCATTTCAGATTCACTTTCTCTCCCTGTTCTTTTGTTTGGAGGTGGCCATTAGCTTCTCTTAGACCTAGTCCAGATGCTTCATTCTCTAGCCATTGGCTTTTGCCCTCCAGGTGCTTGCCCTGAAAAAGTCCTCCATGATTCTGGAGGAAAAAGGAGCCTTTCTTCTCTAGTGTCCAAAAAGCCTGTCCTTGACTTGGGGCTAATGATTGCTCCCCTTCCTGGATGGAGGATTAGGCAGTCTTCTTCCCTGACCTAAGAAATCACCCGCAGTCCTCCCCAGGGTGTCTGGGGCTTTCAGCTTGGAGCTGTAGTCAGCCTCATGTAGCCTGGGAGCTCTATTTGTGGCTCTTCCTTTTTTGTTGTTGAGTTGTTTCAGTTGTGTCCCACTCTTCATGACCCCATTTGGGGTTTTCTTGGCAAAGATACCAGAGTGGTTTGCCATTTCCTTCTCCAGCTCATTTTAGAGATGAGAAAACTGAGGCAAACAGGGTGAAGTAACTTGCCCAGGGTCACACAGCTAGTAAGTGTCTGATTCCAGATTTGAACTCAGATCTTCCTGACTCCAGGCCTGGGGCTGTATCCACTTAACTGCCTCTTTTTACTCCTTTTTACTTGGGGCATCGTGATTTGGAGCTAAGTTTCCAAATTAGAGCTTCTTAGATCCAACCTTCTAATTTTACAGATTTTAAAACAGTCCAAAAGCAAAAAAGGGACCTGCTCCCAGTTACATGGCAATAAGTTGCAGAGGGGGAATCTCTGGCTCCAGATTTGGAGCTGTCTGGCATGATCCTACCTCTTTAAAGCTGGCATGTAGATTAACCTTCCGTAGAGGCATGGAGTATCATGAGCATTCTTTTGCCCCCTCCCTCACTGCCTCCTACCATAGCTTCCTTTCCCTGCAATGTCCAGGAAAACATTAACTCAAGTTGCTGACTTTCTCCCAAACCTGTTGTCCTGATTGATTCCTAACAGGTTTTGTTGGGGGGGGGGGGGGGGGGAAAGAGGGGGAGAGAGAGAGAGGGAGAGAGAGAGAGAGAGAGAAATAGAGATCACAGTCTCTTCCCTATAACTGAGGGCCATTGGTCCTAGCTCTCTCCTTTGGGGCTCTCCTCCCAAAACAGATTTGTCCCTTTTATATGACATATTTAAGCCCCTCCTCCTCCCAAATCCTCTCTAGGCTAACTCTTTCCTGTTCCTTCAGGTATTACTTAAATGGCATAGCTTCTAGTCAGTCCCTTCACTCCCCTCCTCTGGACCTACTCCAGTTTTTCAGTGTTCTTAAAATGTGGCACATAGAACTGAACATAGTACTTCAGATGTGGTCTTACTAAGGTAGAGTATCTTCCTTGAACTGGATACTTACTATACATGTGTTAATATTCTGACAGCTGCGTCATCCTGCTACTTCATCTAGAGGTTGCATTCCACTAAAAATCCCAGCCCTTTTTCACATGAACCAACCTTTTGTACCTTGGTTCTGCTGTCCAGCGTTTACTAGCTCTCTGACTTCATGAAGTCTGCACATTCAGTTTGCACCATGGTGCCTTCATCCAAGTTGTTGGGTCTGGTCCTTAACCTTTTACCAACCTCCCAACCCTTCTGAAGCCCAACACGCTATCATGAGACTTTGTTAAATACTTTGCGTAGGTGCACAGTATCGGGCATTCCCCTGATCTACCCAGCCCAGTAATCCTGTCAATAAGAGGAAATAAGGTTAGTCTGGCATGAGCTATTCTTGATGAACCTGTGCTGCCTCTCAGCAATCCCTGCTTCCTTTTCTATGGACCCACAAACCATCTTCTTTCATTCATAATTGGGCCTAGGATTTTGCTGGGGATCATTGTGAATTAAAAGACAAGCTCCCATTTCTGTATCTGTATCACTTTCAAGCTCACAAAAGAATTTTCCTGATAACAGAACTTGGATTATAGATGAGGTTTCCTCAGAAATGTGAAGTAATTTTATTGCATAGTTAGTGAGTAGAAGAGCCTCCAGGCTCCCCATTGGAACACACGATCTTTCACTGTACCCTGAGCTGCCATTTGCATAAACCCTGTGAAGAGTTGGGTATTCCCTTGTCCGCAGAGGAGGAGGTCTGCCCTCTCTTGGGGAGGGGTTGTGTCCTGGTGTCCGGTGATCCCTGACCACAGGTTGCTGGGGTGGGATGGGAAGGTAACAAAACTGCAGCTTCCAACCCTTCGTTCCTTGCCTGTCCTCCACCAGATTTGGTCCCCAACCATTCATCCTGCCGGTCCCAGTTGCAGCTCCATTACCTGCAGTTCAGCACCTTCAACTGCCAAAAACCTGGTGAGGCAACTCTCTTCCCTAAAGTCATTGGGTCTTTTCAGTTCTCAACTCCCTCAGATTTTCTTAGACTTCCCCTATCCACCTATGCACAAATGAACAAAAAATTTTCTCCTCCCCTTCAGCAGCTATGCCATGTTTTCCCCTCTCAGTAGCTGATTCCTTCCTGATATTTTCCCATCACCTTTCTTTTTTTTTTTTAAGGCAGTTGGGGTTAAGTGACTTGCCCAGGGTCACACAGCTAGTAAGTGTCAAGTGTTTGGTCTGAGGCCGCATTTGAACTCAGGTACTCCTGACTTCAGGGCCAGTGCTCTATCCACTGTGCCACCTAGCTGCCCCCCATCACCTTTCCAGCTTCAATCTCCCTTCCCTTTAACATCCTTCCTTCCTCATAGGAGTCTCTAGCAAAGCCTCAAGGCAGGTGCAGCATGTGTGACCTTCCTATGGGCCCCATTTAGGACCCTGAAGATGACTGCTGTTGTTAGGGAGCTGTGTGTCCTAAGGCTTTGTCTGGGGGAGGGCTACCTCCAACCTGATGCCTGATGTCTGATGAAGATACCATAATGGCCAGGTTTGGCTGCTGGAGGTTGAGGCAGAGCTTTGTGTGCTGGTCCCCCTTGCATTCCAAGTCTAGGAACTGAGCTCAATAAAATGTTCTTCAACCTCAAACATCTTCTGTCCTTTTCTGTCTAATACATCCAACTTATTCTTTTTCCCCTGAGGTACCTGTCATAGCAGGGAAGACTTCCTGAAAGAATTAGCTTGGAGATATCTGACCTGAGGGGTGTGAGTAGGGGGGCACGGTGTAGTCCTATTGCCCTGAACAAAGGAAGAGGGCTGGGTGGGACTTAATGGAGGTAATTGGCCAAAGCCAACCATCTGACTCCTGAAATTGATTTCCCCTTCCTGACCCCCCACAGTGCCTTGAGACCCTTAATCATCAGGGCTTAGAAACTTAGGCATCCTCTCTGACTCCTCCCTCTTCCTGACTCCCCAGTCTGGAAGATCTAATCAGTTACCAAATCCTGTGCCTTCTTCCCTTATAGTGTCTTCTCTCTACCCAAACCCCACCAGCCTGATTTAGTCCCTCTTGGTTATCTCCTTGCATATCTTCTGGCTTCCAGGCTTTTCTCCACTACCCAGTATATGATCATGTCCCTCTCCTGCTTAAAATCGTCCACTGATTCCCCATTGTTCCTACTCAACCTGGCCTGCAGAATGTTGACTCCCCAATGCAACACTAAGTTCCAAAGGTTTACCCATGCCCCTAACAGGCATTCCCTATTAGGAAATGATTTATTCCCTGCACATTTCCACATTGTTAGGCCATCTTCCCTACTTTAGAAGCCCTGCCTTCTCCACCTTATGGAAACCTTCTCATTCTGTAAATTAGAGCCCAACTTAGATTTTGCCTCTTTAAGGAAATCTTCCATGGCCACAGGGGCCAGCACTAATGTCTTTCTCAACTCCTGGAACCCCCCCACCCCACCCTTTATGAACGAGGATTTATAGGTGAATATTACAGCGGGAGGAAACCTCAGATATGAAGTCTAACTCCCTCATTTTAGAAAGAGGAAAAGAAGTCTAGAGGGTCCCATGTTTAGAGACATCATCCAGTAAAGTAGCCAGGTTAGGATTTGAACCCGGGTTCTGCCTTTGATCTCTTAATTCATTGTCTTCTGTATGTGTCTTGTCACTCAGCTAGATAATGTGATGCTCCTTGGGGCTAGGATCCACAAATTTACCCCAAATCCCTCATTTTACAGATTAGGAAATTGGCCCAGCAGAATTTTCTTCAGCCAGAGCAGAGCAGAAGGGAGTACAAGCTAAGGTGTTTATAGGACCCAGAGAAGCTGGGGCGGGCTTAGGAGGGGAGACTTTTTTTATATGAGAGAGTGCAAGTGTGAGGCAGTGAATGAGGAAAAGATTACCTGGCCTAGAGTCGGGGGTAGCAGCCACAGATTTCCCCTTCCCTTTCTTTTTTCTCTGGTCCAGTAGCTCCCAGCAGCCCCTCCCCCCTCTGCGTTTGATGTGCAGACAGGGCCGGGGGAGGGGTGGGGGTAGGGGCGGGGGCGGGTAATTAATCACAAGTTAAAGGAATTAAACTCAGCCGGGGATGTCAGCAGCCAGCGGCGGCCGGGTCACCCGGGAAATTACCGGGGGATGGGGAGGGGGTGCAGCCACTCCACGGGGTGGGGGGTGGGGAAATCTTCCCAAGTCTACTCACCACCCCGACACACACACACACATACACACACACGCGCGCGCGCGCGCCTACGGAGGGGGTGGGAGGCAACTTGGGCTCGCAGAGGGAGTGTCTTTGTGTTACTCGTATTTCGGTATGTGTCCTTACGTGTTCCAGCGTTGCCGTATGTGGCTGTGCGGCTGCCTGTATTATGTGTATGTATGTTGCGTAATGTAGTGAGTTACAACGGCGTGAGTGTGCCGCGTTACTGCGGGTGTTGTGCGGTTGTGTCACAACGGCGTGTGCGATTGGTGTATGTCCGTCGTTGCTGTCTTCTCATGTGTTGTGTATCCAATGTTGCTGTCTTCCTGTACAAAGTTCACTTCCACGAGCATTTTACAAGACGTCTACTATATGCGAGGCTAGTTAGTGTATGTCGCTGAGTGAGTTATGTTAAGCGGTAGTGTTAGTGTGTCCCACAAACACCCTGTATTGTCTCCGTGTTACAGAGTGTTATCGCCTCGGTTGTTGGCAATGCAGACATTACTGCTTGTATGCCGAGTGTGTTGCGACTTGCGCCGTGACCAGGGGTGTAACCTCCGGTACTGTGTAATTTGGCCCTTTCCTCTGTCCTCTCTCCTCAGTTTCTATCATCCCACGTCTCTCAGGGTTGGATCTAGGTCAAGGTCATCATTAATAATAAATTCTTGGATGGGGGTGGGGGGACAGGGACGGGCAGGGGGAGGTGTTTGTAGAAAGGAATTCAGGGAGATGCCCTCTAGGCCTAGTAGGTTCAATTTGGAAGCTTGTTGGGTCAATCTCACACGATCTTCAGATCCTATAGGGTGAGGGAGGAGAGCAATTTTGGGGGTCAGCTCCATATCACAAAAAAGAGTTAGGGTAGAGGTAATGGGGAACAAATCCCTCCCCTATTTCAAGCCTTCAATCGGTAAGGATCCTAAGGTTGTCCAATGCACACAAGCTGCCAGCATCTGTGGCCTGCTCCCACCCTCTCCCCTCGCAGGAGGGAAAAAGCGAAATGTCTTGTCGGATCCTCTTTATTCACACTGACTGAGGTGCTGAGGTTGGGGGGTGGGGTGGAAGTGGGGAAGCGGCTACAAACTGCCAGATATCTATAGTGGGCAGAGAAGACCCAGTTGACCCTGGCTCGCTGTCCATCACCCGAGCAACAGTCATTGCTGGGAGAAGCCTCTGGGCAGAGGCAGGGATGTGGACTAGGATGTGATCGGGATATAACCACAGAAAATCAAATGTGCGCTAGAAGAGGTCCTTGAAAGGAAGAGAGGGGACAGGATAGGTGAAGTCTATAGGGGCCAGAGGGCACTAGGGTTCGGAAGGAGAGAGTCCGGCTGGGAGAGATGGAGTCTGGCGCCAGAGGGATCCCTGAGCCTAGAAGAGTGGGGATTGGGGAGACTGGGCGGTACAAAGTCTGTCCGGAACTAGGACAGAGAAAATGAGGGCGAATAGACAATGTAGGGCCGGGGAGGCCGTCGGGATAAGGAGGAACGCTATCTGAGACTCCTAGGTTGAAAAAAAAAGTGAGAAACCCAGGACATCCCAGAAGCACATGAGTGGGAAGTAAAGAAACTAGCTTCATAGATGTGTCTAGGACCCCTAAGTAAGTCCCTCGGACTGGAAAAAGGGAGAGTGGGGAGACTTCTGTGCAACGATTGAGAGAGCCAAGGACAATGGGGAATGGCAGGACGAACCATGCAGAATCATGCCTTTCCTCCCCCCCCCAACCCAACACCGCAACAGAAATAAAAGAGGTCGGGTGATTCAGTTAGTCTGGGACGGCAAGACCCTAGAGAATGGGAGGATTGGACAGTACAGAGGGTGGGATGAAGGGACAATGAATGGAAGGAGGACGGCGTGGGAACGTTAGAAAACTGGGCAGTAGAAGTCTATCAGGGACCTGGACCCTCTGAGCTGGCCCAGTGGGTAAAAGGGTCTCGATAGAATCTAATGATACAGTCCGCGGATCCCAAAAGCTAGGGCCAGACTTTTTTTTCAATCGTCCACCTGGATCTCCTCGTCTGAAAGCTCGGGCCCAGGGTCGGGGCTGGGGTCCGGATCGGCGGAAGGGCTGGAGCCTGATTCTGGCAGAGAGAGGCTCAGCCGGCGAAGAGCCGCGGGAGGCAGGGAACGCAAGGAGGCCACGTCCGCCTTCATCTCCTCCACGTCTCTCTTGAGCTTGGCTCGGCGGTTTTGGAACCAAGTGATGACTTGGGCATTGGCCAGACCCAGTCGAGCTGCCAGTCCGTCCCGCTCGGCTGGAGCCAGGTACTTCTGGAAGACGAAGCGCCTCTCCAGCTCCAGCACCTGCTGCGTTGTGAACGCAGTACGCGACTTCCGACGCCTGCGGGTCACAGACCCGCTCAGCGGTCTCAGTGCCGCCCGACCTGCAGGAACAGGAAGGACCAAGGGTATATGATCAAGCCTGGGACTGGACATCCACGAGAGCAGGCAGGCCAGCCTTGCCGACAGGATTTGGACCAGTGGAGTGGACTGCGGGCTTCTCCACAACAGCAAGTCTGAACGGAACTCAGAGTTCGGGGAGTTCCCTATATCCCCTGGGGGGGGGGGCAGAGTTAAAACCTGGGAAACAGGAGGTGATCTATGAATTCTCTGTGGGCAAGGATAACCCGGCAGGGTTCTAGCCTAGACAAGGAGGCTAAGGTCATCTATTTGGGGGAGGTAACTCAAGGTCCCTGGGAGTAGAAGGTTGTAAGCAACTCCAGAGGCCAGCAGGTTCAGGGCTTGAACTGCTCTTCCTCCATTTCAGCACAGGGCTGGGTGCACGGCGGGGGTGGGGAGGAGAGGGTCGAGTGAATTCACAGAGAAGACTTGTTGATGGTTTGATTGATTGGAGTGTCTGGGATGACTGAGACAGAGGTCAGGGCACTGTAGGGCTGAGAAGGACTGAGGAACTGGGGAAGAGTTAGGGTTAGGTAGGGAGTTGAGGTAGGCAATTAAGGGAATAGGGACATGGGGGCAAGGTATTGGAGGTACAGAAGGTTGTGGAAAGGGGAGAAGTTTCATGGGGTAGAGAGATGTGCGAGAGATAGAGAGGTCAGGGACTAGATGATGGGATTGATCTGGGCTTCAGGACCGGTGGGGGCCTCAGCGGCCAGATGAGCAAAAAGGAAGAGATCAGAGACCTACTTCTATGACCTCTCCCCTCAGCCCATAGGGCTCTTTCCCTGAGATCTTGGGGCCTTTTACGGGCCCCCTTACTGTCCCAGTGGCTTGACTCACACCTTCCCAGTGCCCCTCCTCCACCTCCGGATAGCCAAACGGGCCGCTGCAGGGGCTGGAGCCTTGGAGACACAAACACAGCAGGGGAGAGAGAGATGAGCCTGAAGCCTCTGAACCTTATAAGCCTGGGAAGAGGCGAAGGCAGATCCTGAACTGGGTTGGATCTCTGGCTACCTCACTTTCTTCCACATCTGTCTCTGTTTGTGTCCCTTTGTCTTTCTCACTCTGGCAGGATCTCTATCATCTCCGTCGCAATGTATAGTGTAACAGTAGCAATCAATTCTCCGGTCCCAACATTTGATTATCCTCCCTTGGTTTATTGTGGTTGCGATTGTGTGTGTGTGTGTGTGTATGCAAGCTCGGGAGCGTATGGGCGCGAACGCATTCTCCGCGGGTCGGAACTGACTAGAGAAGAGCGCAGTCAGCTCAGGCTCTGGTCAGACCGAGACCTCGGCCCGCTGAAGGAAGGAAAGAGTAAGATCTGACGATGTCCAGGACAGATCCCTGAAACACAGGAGAGAGGAAAAAGTGGCCTCGGACTCGGCCCTTGGTACCTCGAGTTGACCCGGTAGGAGGCACGTCGTGGTCCAAGTTTTCGAAGGAGCCGGACTCAGGAGAGGGGAGGAGGGTGTTGCAGAAGGGGAGACCGGTTAAAAGGGAAGCAATGAATGAAAGCCAGGGCACCACAGGGGGGGAAAGGAGGAGAACAAGGGGAAGAAAAGAAACAGACCGACGAAAGGGGTCAGACAGGTAGAGGACAGGGGAACTCCAGGGAAAGAAAGAAAAACGGCGAATCGAAGGAAAAGTGGAGGCCAGGAGAGAATGGAAACCAAGGGAAAGAGAGAGGAGGAAAAAGGGGTAAAGGAGAAGGAGAAAAGAGGTCTGGAGAAAAAGGGAATCGGGAGGGGATGTTGAAGATGAAGAAAGGGGATTCGGGAATGGGCAGATAAGAGGAAACGGTGCAGAAAGAGGGGAAGGGCAAAGAAAGGAGGAAATAGGGGTCGGAGGGGGAGGCTGTAGCAGGGATGCACAGTAAGAAGCACAGCAGTTTAAGAACCCAAAGCCCCCTCCCGCCTGCCTCCCTCTAACTGCAACCCCAGCCAAGCGTCTGACCGCGTACCTTCGGTCGCCTGCAACACACTGCCGTCGAGCCTGCGGAAGGTCTTACTGGCCAACTCTTCTAGTGCGCAGAGAGGCGAAGTATGGTCTCGGGCGGGCACGGGGGCTGGGGCTGGGACTGGGCGGGCTGCTGGACCCAGGATGTCAGCTATGCTGAAGGGCGTCAGCGGTTTATTGGAGGCGGAAGGCGGCGGCCCGGACTCCTGGACAGAGGTCATGTCGGGGCCCCCGGGCCAACGGGTCCCCGCTGCCGGGGCCGCCAGCTCAGCGCCACCTCCTCTTCCTCCTCCTCCCCCACCTCCTCCGCGCATCGGCTCATGCTCCGGGCCCCGGGGCCCGGGAACGCCCCGTGCCGCCCCCCGGGGCCCCGGTCTGCGCCCAGAAGACTGCGCTGGGCAAGCCTGAAGCTGCTTCTTTGCCTTAGTCGGGCGGCTTAGTCCGTGCAGCCCTACGCCCGCCAGCGGAGCCTTAGCCCTGCCTTAAAGGGCCTTGGGGCTGGAGGCGGCAACTGGGTGGGGAGGGGGGGCGGAGCTTGCAGCGGCCCCCGAGCTCTGGGGCCTCGTATCCTTCTTCCAGACCCACCCCCACCTCAAGGGTCCCCAGCTGGTCTAGTCGTCCGCCCTCCTCAGGCTAAGGCCCAAGTGACCCTGGCGCAGACTGAGGAAGTGACCTCCTGGTTCGAGCGCCCTTCGGAGACGCCACAGGACGGGACACAGTGCGCTACCCCAAATGTACCCACTCCCCGGCCCTCTTCTGAACTCCTGCTCTAGTGGCCACCACCGGGCCCATCGGCTCTTGTCTCCTGCCCCTATCCAATCAGTCTCTTTAATGTTACGACCCTCGCCTCAGTCCCTTAGTTGCCAGACCCTATCCCCCCCTACTGTGCCCCTCGACGCTGTCCAGCCTGGGCCCCCTACCCGTAATGGGAGCAGCCTCTCTGGCCCATAAAACTGCGGGCGATAAAAGGGTTTTTCCTCCCGCGGCCTCAAGGGCTTTTAAAAGTTCCCAGCGCTAGAGTTGGTGGGTGGAAGGGGGGGAAGGGGGGAAGGGGGAGCGTTGAAACCAGCTGTGAGGGAAGAAGGGGCTGGATCCAGCTGTGACCGGACCTAGGGGGCAGCTGTGTGTGCCTTCCTCCCTCTTCTGGCTCAAGCCCTGCTCCTCCATGAATCCTGTCCTCCTTCCCAGTCCCATAGAGAATGTGGGTCCACAAGGCGATGAGGGTGACTGCGGCTGGAAGTGATTAGGAATGCGGGGGTGTGGGGCTGGGGCACTGCTCAGATTCCACAGACCGACCATGGCTGGGCCGGGAGAACAGCGGAGGCCTCATCAACCTGGCCACTATGGAGTCTCCTACAGCCTCCTCTGTCTGAGACCCCTGGGACAGAGGTTGTTCAGAGTGGTCAGAGCCACAGGGCAGCGGAGTAGGGCGGGGCGGGGGAAGCCTAATGGAGGACGCAGGTGAGGCATAGAAACCGCTGGCTTCCCGGAAGCTTCGGTCCCTCGGCCTACCATACCCTTACCTTAGTACTAGCCCCATTCTTTTCAATTCCATTCTCTTCAGTGCTCTGGCCCCAAGCTCAGCAGCTCCCCACAGCACCCAGCCCTCGGGCCTCCACCTCTTCTTCTCTGTTTCCTATTCCCTGTTATTTCAGCCCTATTTCCCAGTCTCCTTAGGAGCTCCGGAGGCTGCAGGCTCGACTTCCAGGAGGATCCTGACTTCTATTCTAGGCTGTCTCAAGACCTGGGGTTCAAGATCTATCGGCTAGCTCTGGGACAGGTACAGGACCAACTGAGAGATGAAAAAACGGGAGTAGGTGGAAGACAAGGTGGTGGACTGGAAGAGGGACCTAGCGGAGCGATCCATACACACCACCACCACCACTTCAGAAACCCACTGATTCAAAGGGACATGGACAAAACAAAGCACAGAGAGGCGTACGACCCCATGACCAAAGGTGAGGTCAGTCCATATTTCTGTTAGTGCCTGTGTCTGTCTCACTCAGCCTCTACAATGTGAATGGGAGATCCCCCGGTCAGCTTAGCACTTCAGATAGCTTGGTTAGGTAGAGGAGAAATGTCGGGTCCTGACTGGGTAGAAGCTGACCCCATACATCCCCAGGGCTATGTCGGAGACCTAGTCAGAACCCCAAGCCTGGAGTCACTCCCAGGGCCTCAGGCGACCTTGGAACTTCACATTGGTGTAGGTGTCTGACTCCGGAATCTTACTGTCCCTCGAGGGAGACTCACTCGTTCCCGCACATACATTGGAAAAGACAAATAAACATAGCACAGATACACAAAAAGACACCTGGAAAACAACAAACCCGGGGAGACAATCACACACCACGCCTTGGACACATAAGCACACACACACACACACACACACACACACACACACACACACACACAAGCTTCCCCGCTTATCTTCTGTGGGCCGTTGTTAGGGCATTGACTACCGCTGCGACCAACCTAGCAGAGACCCGGCTCAAGCGAATTACGACGGAATCCTAATAGGCCTCAGGAAATGGTGCGGGGAAATCGAGGGCTAAGAGCTCCTTGGCCCAGCTTCACCCCAGCAAGGTCTCTGGGTCTCTCGGGGTCTGTCTGACTGAATCACGTAAGCCTCCTTAATCACACAAGTCGCCCCATTGCTCACCTATAGGACCACGGCAACTCGCCAGAAGAGACCCAGTCTCACCTCTTCCACGCACACAGCGACAGTTCTGTTCACAATCATACAAAACAAAAAAACGCCACACACACTGCGGTCCGTGCTGCCCCAGACAAACGGTCGGAGCCGCAGCACTTCCTGTAGGAGGGGGTAATGCAGACTTGGACACCGACAGACAGACGCGGATCCCTCAATTCCCACGATTTAGACTCACCGTCACCCTTCAACCCCGTCTCGGAGGCGGCTTTTGTTTCTTTGAGCCTCTAAGCCCCCTCCCTCTCCGAAAAATTAGGGCATTAAAGAAACTGTCCAGCCGGCTGTCTCGCCGATCTTCCCCTATTGCTAACTCTCTAAGTGGGTATTTCTGCCTCTCGACTCCTTCCATTTCCTTTTCACCTTTTCCCGCTTCTTCCCCGATTGTTTATTAGTAGCCTATGTCTGTCCTCCTCCGCCCATTTTGGGAACAGTGTGTGTGACTGTGTGTTACATGGGTTTGCATCCCTCGTTCCTTCCACTTCTTTCTCCGAGAAAGCAAAGAGCCTGGGCTGCCTTGGACGGAGCTCAGATCTCCAGGTAAGAGCCTGGTTTGCTTTCGGCCCAGAAGAGAAACTCAGGGACAGGGACAGGGACTGAGTAGGAACCGGAACACTCTGGACAGTGTTAATTTGGAAGAGCCAGTCAGTTCAGTACACACCTCAAAGACTACATGCTGAAACTCAAGCACACACACTCAGAGTACATACACATAGACACAAAGACAGCCATACCCGGGAACATGGAGGCACAATCATACAGACACAATTGCGAAATTACAGACACAGACACTTCCACACTGGTGACTGACTAACGGTCAAGGATCAGAAGGGACCCAAGTGTGGAGGCTGGCTAAAGTGATTCAAGAGCCTCTCAATTGGTTATTTCTGGGAGGGAGGGAGACATCCCCCCCATCTCCCACCCTTCCCCAGGCTGAGCTGGGAGCTGCCTTTCTTCGATCAAATCAATGTCTGTCCCGTTGATGTTGTTTCACTTAATCTGTAATTAAAGTGCGTCCCAGGAGAGGCTCCATGCGCCCTTCCTCCCAACCCCAACACTCATTCCTTTATTCCCTTCTTATGGAGCCCTCTTAGAGAGGCCAAGATATCTATATAATACATAATTCACATAGGCACAACACAAAACTCACCAAGCATATGAAACATAGATGCACAATTCACACGTACACATTTGCAACACAACTGTTAAATACTATACTTAGAATGAGCAAGACATAATTTAAAAAAAACAACCATCAAACACAATATAAAATCTGCCTTTGACATTGACATAGGTCTGTCTCACTCCTTTGCTCACAAGTTCCCCTTCCTCCCCTTCCTTCCTCTAGCCCTCTTTACTCGGGTCTTAATTTCAGACCTCTCTACTGTGGATCTCTTTCTCCTAATGATGCCTATCCCTGACCTCTCTCCCTATGCCTGTCCTAAGAGGTCTCAGGTATGCTGGGGAGTCTCTCTCTCAGGTCTGAGGGGTGACATCTGGCACTGAGTCTGATAAGGAGACATGGTTCCCTAGTATGAGGGTCTAAGACATGATAACCAATGGCCCTAGGGTGAGGAAGGGGGGACTTCAGGAAAATGGTATGATCTCCTGAGTCTGAGGCAAACTCACATCTGTGACCCCACACTAGAACTGGGTTGAAAGCTGAGGACTCTTGGATCTTCCCCTTTTCTTTCTTTCTGTCTCAAAGCCCCCTCCCATTTCCTCTTATCCCATTCCTCCCTTCCCTTCCCCCTCTCAATGCCTGTCTCAGGTAATGGGGTTAGCCTGTCCCAGGGGTGGGGGAGGTGGGATGGAAATGCAGAGACTGAGAAGATGGTGAATAGGATTTGGATTGGGGGATGGGGGAGAAAAAAGAAACACTTAAAAAAAAACCCAACCCCAACAATGAGAGACACCTGGGAAGGCAAAGTCACACAATGAAAACAGAAATTAAGACACACAGATTAGAGACATACACAGATATGACAGACATTTTTGTGATAGAGGAGTTCATACAAAAACAGGCAACCAACGGAGACATCAGCAAAGAGACAGAGAGACAGAAAGATAAAAAAGGGTAAGCAGAACCTGAGTGACAAAGACAGTCACAGACAGCAGCAGAGAAAGACCAGTAGACAGAGCAGACACAAGATATAGAGATGGTCACAGAGTTAGACACAGCCCTACAGCTCATACAGAAAGGGAGGTCCCCAGTTTTTCAAGAAGAGAGAGTCTCCCCTGGGACTAGTGAGGGGCCACTGAAGGGATTTCTCAGTCCGGACCCCCCCCCCCAGTCTCTTGCTGGCCCCAGGTCAAGGAGCCTGAGAGAAACTGGATCCATTGGATGCTAGGAGTAGGAGCTGGGGGAGGAGGGGGGTGAGTGATTAATGAGGGAGATTAAACCTCCGGGCCCAGAGGTCACCTCTCCCCCTCACCATGGGAAACTGAGAAGGTCTCTCTACTGGGGGAGAGGGCAAGGAGTGAAACCAACTGAAGATCCTCCCATAACCTGACACTCATCACCCCCCCCAACCCCACCCCCTACCACAACATACCACTCTACTCCCTGGTCAGTATGGTCACTAATCATACACTTGGTCACTGATCACCCCAACACCTTATGACAGATGTTCCATGAACTTCATCACTGAAAACCCTCCATCCCCTGTGACCACTATGACAAACCTGTACCATGACCACTCAGATACCCCATTACTGAGCCCTAAAGTGACCCCTAATGTCACTAACCCCATGCACACATCACATCCACTGACCTCACAGCCTGTCACTGAGTCTGCTCTGCCCCTCAAACATCTTAACAGACTTCCAATGACCGAGGCCACCAAGGCATCCCTTACAATCTGGTCACAGACCCCTATCACTGATGCTCCACACACATGCCTGGGGTTTCATATATCTGCCTACTCCTTGAGACCTCATCCCCCAACCTTTCTTACTTCTTGCACACCCCATCAATGGGACACCTAAACACTTAATCACTGACCCTGCCTATACCCCACAAATGTTCACAGCAAACCACCATTGATTCAGTGTATTCCTGGAGACTGACCACCCCACCCCACCTCAACCCCACAGAGGCCTCTTCACCGTCATTGCCTGTTTCTATATTTTGTCACACATACAACCTGTCAATATTTCCTAAAACACTTTGTGCCCTCCACCACAGTTATTCACTTTTTCTATATTCCTCTGGGGTTTGGGATGAATCCAGCTGAATGTAGATATGGCCTCTTCCCTTCTTCATGTTCTAAGTATTGGAAAACAATTCATGTCAAGGTCAAGGTTTGCCTTGGGCTGTGCCTTAGAACAGCTTCATTAGCCCAGTTTCCTCATCCTTTTTTTTCCCTCTCCCCCTTTTTCACTGATACCTTCAAGACTTTGGACAGGTAGTATAAAACACATTAAGAAAAGCTGGATTTAACTCTCCCACTTACTATGACTCTGGGCAAATCATCTTCCTTCTCTGAGCCCATTTCCACATCTAGAGAATCTGGAATAATATTTGCACTACTTACTTTATAAACCTAAAAGTGCTATCCAGATGTCTGCCATTAGAAGTTTCATTTGAAAGTGGGGAGAGAACCAGTAGTTAGGGAGGAAACTGAAAGGACTAGGAATGTCATTTTGTGTTTGACATTTTGCAAATCTGCATCAGAAGGCACGTACCCCAAGTATATGCTTCCAGGATTTAGAGCTAGGGAGGATGAGTCAGACCCTCTCACTACACACATCAAATGAAACAGACATAAAAGCACTTTGCCAATCTTAAAAAGGTTCTATAAACGTTAGCTGTTATCTATGGGGAAAATGAGGCCCAGAAAAATGGGAAGCAATTGGACCCAGGTCATTTCAGGCAAGACCAGGACTTGAACAGGTTCTCCCAGGACCCTGAATCCAGGGTTCTTTCCATAACACAGTGCATATGTCCATATGTGTTATGTGTGCTTTTACTTTTTAGTCCTTTGGGGACATCAGGAAGAGGACAAGGGAAGGGGAAGAGTCACCTTCATCTCTGACAGCTGGGAACAGCTGGGGGTGGGGGTGGAGGAGAAGGAAGGCAGAGAGCTGAGGACAGACAGCAACCAGGGCTCTCTGCCTTCTCACCAGACGGAGTGGGAGAACAGTGCACAGGGCATGTATTTAGGGCTCCAGGGACCTTCTTTTCTCTCTCTTGCTGCTCAGACCCTGGTTGTCATTCCTTTGACCAAACCTGGACCCCAGAGGAGCTCTTCCCTGAGATCCCTGGGACCAGATTACAATGAGGGCCACCCCCTGCTCCTAAGATGAAGATGCACAACAGTGTACTTGTTAGCAAGGGAATAAGGGAGGCTGGTAAAATCGGGGGCCCAGCTGACCCTACAGCTGGTCTGAATCAGTGGTGGCGGGGAGGGAGCAGCTGCCGAAGTAAGAGCTTGGCCAAACCTTTCCCCCACCCCCCTGTTGATGAAAGACATAAAGAAGATCCAGACTAGAGGTCTGAGCCTATGGTAGAAGCATCTCTGAAGGGCATGGGGGAGGGGATGACTGGCTTTCGGCATAGGAATAGGGATCTCTTTTAAGTATCAGATTCAGATCCCCAGCTTCCTGACAAATGACTCCATGTCATGAACTTGCCCCCCCCCAAAAAACCCTGGCTATTAACCCTTGCTGATCACTTTGGGCTTTCCCCTGTCCTTCAGGGCTTCATTCCACCTTAAGCTGGGTTCCCCTCACCTGGACACGGGAAAGTTAGAGAGCCGTGCAGGTAGGGTGGAACACAGTCTCCCACCCTACCCTGCATGGCTCTCTAACTTTCCCCCAAGTTGGTTCCTCCAGTGCTAGGTTACCTCAGCAGAACACTGGTCCTTGGTCCTGGCCCTGGCCCTCCACCATTCTGTCTTAGCTAAGAAGTCCTAGCTACCTCTCCCTGATCCTTCAAGGTCCACTCAACTGCTCCTCCTTTGGGTCCAGCACAAGGCACTGGGATTTGTTGAATAATGAGAGGTTGAGGAGTGGGGAGGAGAGGGAAAGGGAGGAGACAGAAGCAATGTCAGGTGGGGAGGAGGGATGGGAAGGAGAGTTCAAGAAGCAGCCAACGGTGCTTTTTCAGCTTTTATTTCAAAAATAAAGCCGCTGTGGGTCTCACATAAATATCTGGGGTGGGGGAGGGAGGCCAACTTCTACCTCCTTTTTTCCTTCACACTGTAATGCAGGAGCAGGGGTGCGGGCTAGAGGAAGAGAAGGAAGAAGAGGGCTGTTACACCTTCCCTAGCTATAACCACCCTTTTATCCCACCGTCATCCCTTCTCCATTTTTAGCCTCCCTGCCTTCACTGAACCAACTACCCTTTTCTCCAACCAATTTCCTCCTACAATGGTCCTAAAATCCCCATTCCATTCCAGTCCCTCATTCCCCCAAACTTTCTTTTCCCCACCTTGCCAAACCATCGAGAAAGCCAAAGCTGTTTCATGGTCATGTGATCTGGGAGAACTTCATTGTCAAACAGGAGCTGTACCTGTATTGGGGAGGGAGGAGATGAGGGGGTCCTAGTGATGCTGGGACAGGGAGCCCCTTCCTCTCCATCCCTCCATCCCCTTTACAGCTTCTTTCTGGGACAGTCTAACTCACATGCTGGGGGTTCAGCATCAGACGTCTACACAGGACCCTCCTGAGATGCCGAACCTCGGCTCGGACGGAACACCGGACGAACTTGTGCTGAAGGGCAAGGGCAGGGACAGGGAGACAAAAAAGAACAATGGACTCCAAGTCAAGTACTCCAAGTTCAAATCCCAGCTCCAACACTCACTAGCTGTGTGACCTTAGGCAAATCCCTTCTCTTCTCAGAGCCTCAAGTGTCCTCAGCTGTGTAATGGGGATGATACCTGTATAACTACCTGCAGGATTACCACGAGCAAAGTACTTGACAAACCAATCGATCTAGAAATGGGAGCTGCTATTACTATTATATGAGTGAGAAGTGATATTGAGGGGATTGTTATTAGGTTAGTTATTTAAATGAAAAGAATATAGAGACCTCCCTTTCAGCCCCCTTACCTGTAAAATGCTTTTATTTTTGTCTTTGCCAGAGCTGCTGTGGGGAAGGGGGAGCAAAGACAATGGTTAGGTATCTTTCTACCAAATGCCCTGCCCCTATCAATCCCAAAGGACCCCCTCCTTTCCTGGTATCTCCCCTCCCCCTCAAATCTTTTGTATGGACTCACCTCCTAGGTAGGGTAGGGAGCATCAGCTGGTTTACCTTCCCCCTCCCCACTCTGCACTAAACTTGGGGTAGGCCATCACCTACAGTCTTCCCTAGGCATAGCAGGCATGAGTGATGGAACCACGGTTTCCCTGCCCCTCCCAATCACACCTTTCCCTGCCCCCCCATCACACCTCTCACCTAAGTTTTTCTAGACATAAGCTGAGCTGCTCATCATAACGGTAATAGTGGGCTTTTGAATGGTCAAAGCTGTTGTAGGGGAGGCCAAGGGTACCCGGGGCTGGTTCTAGGAGAGACACGGTGATGGCTATCACAAGGGAGCAAGGCATGAGATGGAAGATGAAAAACTCTGGGGAAAGAGGCGGTTACCTTTCTTTAGGCTATATTTACCTTCCCCGGTAGGCTGGGTGACTCGGTCCAGGCCACGTGACTGATAGAACTCTCGTATCCTTTTCTCTTCACCTGGAGGGGAGATGAGGGTGAGGAAAGGGAGAAAGATAGACCTTCTTAGTTCCTGTCCATTTCTGGTGTAATGCCCTTAACTTTTCATAGCCCAACCTCACACGTGCCTGCATAACCAAGTGGGGATAAAGTACGTCATTGTCCTGCTGGCTCTCTTGGGAGTTTTGGAATCATAAAGAGTCAGAGCTGGAAGGATCTTTAGAGACTGATTGGCTCAGTTCCCTCATTTTCCACAGGGGGACACAGAGACCCAGGGGAATTAGACTTGCCCAAGCTAGCAGTGAGAAATCTGAGAGTGAAACCAGATCCCTGGTGCTTTTCTGGGGGAAACACTCACTGTCCTGCAGGCCGGGCACCAGCTTGTACACGATGTCCTGCATGACCCGATCCAGTTTGAGGTTGAGGAGCGGCTGAGTCTCATGAATCTTTATGTTGCACATGGGGCAGTATTTGCTGGTCTGCAGGTACTTCACTATGCAACTCTTACAGACTAGGGGGAGAGAGGCCACACACCTTGCAGCCCTCCTCCCCTCCCTCACCCAGGTAAAGGGACGGCGGGAGAGAGGCCCAGGAGCTCGAAGAAGGATCTGTCCCAAAGGGAGCTCCATCCGACGGGCTCCCTGGGCTTCGGGTGGGCTGGGTCCTTCATGGAGGGCACGGGTGGGGAGGGGTGGGGTGGGGGTGGGGAGGACCCTCACAGGTGTGCAGACATTCCGTGATGGTCGTGGCATCCACGAAGTAGCCAGCGCACAGACAGCAGACGATGTGCTCGTTCAGGTCCTTGATTTTCACTCGGACTTCCTCCTGTAGCCAAACTGACCATCACTGACTTTCTAAATGACCACCCCGACACCCGACTGGAGGCAGCACAACAATGACCTCCTTCTGTGTCCTCGTCCCCCCATCAAATCCATGGGGACTATGGGGATGGGAGGGTGCTTCACACCCGGGCTGAGCCACCCCCCCCCCCCGCCACCTCTGCCCAGCAGGGGGCTCCGCACACAACCCCGACTCTAGACGCACGGAGGGGGGGCAAGGGAGGGGGTCTCGGCGCGCATGCGTCCTACTGGGGGGGTGTCGCCCCCCCCTCCAAACACCACGCACGCGCATCCGGTACCCGGCCGCAACGCAAGCGCATTGGGCATCGGGCCAGCTGCCCAGTCGCCCGCCGGCCCCAGAGCCTCGTTTCTCCGCGCCGCCTGGCGTCTCCAGCCTGCCACCTCCGTACCTCGTTCCGCAGGGGGTCCATCTTGTACACCGACTGAAGCTGGTTCCGCAGCCGCATCGCGATCGCCATCGGGCCCCCCTGAGGAGACGCCATCTTAAAGGCTGAGCCCGGCCAGCCACTTCCGGTGCCGCCTGCTGGGCGGGGCCTGTCTCCAGGCAACGGGAGGCCTGGGCCTTTTCTGATTGGCCGTCCCGCGCAGGGCCCCGCCCCACCGCTCCCCTCCCCTCTCTCCCGTGTGCTCACCTGAGCTGGTCCCGCCCCTAGCCCCGTCCCACTTGGCGTCAGAGCTGCTGAAGGGGCTCGTAGTTGCCCCGCACTCCCAGCGAGGCTGAGTCCCCGCAACCCCGAGCTAGATCCCGCCGAGGCAGCGGTGCCTGCGTCTTCCGGAGGCCACCGCGGCCGGGAAGGAGGGCACCTGGGTCTCTTTTTCCAGCAGCTCCCCCCGGGGTTCCTCCCCAGCCGAGCCGGGTCTGACTGGGGGCCACAGGGGCGTCTCGCGGGGAGCATCTCCCGGGGCGGGCCCAGGGGCCTTTGGCAGGAGGCCGCCTCGCGAACGTCTGCGCCCGAGAACGGGGCCCTCCTGGGCCGGAGACTGCCTGAGCACGACCGCGGTCAAATCCTGGATGCGCGGGGCGCAGTCGTAGCTCCTGTGTGCCCGTCCTTCCTCGATCCCCTGGCGGACCTCCCCCTGCCCCTCCTCTGCTCGCTGCGGCGTCGCCCCCGAAGGGAATCTTACCATGTGACCCCCCCTTCGAGGGGCCACCCAAGGGGTCCCCCTCCTCAGCTACCCCCCCCAACCCCCATCTCTGATGCTGCCTATCTCACGTAGATTCCTCTAGGTCCAATCTACAATCATTTATTAAGCCCCGACTACGTGCCAGGCACTGTGCTGAGCCGGGGGTGGGGGCTATACCAAAGAAAGGCAAAAAACAAAACTTAAACCACACCCACACACACACACGTCCTAGCCCTTAGGGTGCTCGCGATCTAATTCGGGACCACGCGCAGACACCAGCCTCCGGAATCACTCCATTGTTTCCCCCTTAGTGCATCTCCTCTGGGTCTCCCCATCTTGTTTTCCCCTTCGCTTATTTGTCTTTCCCTAGTAATGACTCCTCTCTCATTTCTCAGTGACCCCATTGTTCTGCCCCTACCTATAGTACACACTCATTTTCATCAGTAACCCATCTTAATGTTTCCCCTTAGGTTGTTCCCTTTTGTTTTCCCCATCTGTAAACTCCTCCCTCCTTTTCTCCATTCCTAACCCGTCCTCCCCCTCGGCCCCCCAACAAACCTCTTCTCTTCTCTCTTAGGGAATCTCAGAGTCTCTTGAGGATTGTCTTTGGAAGTCTCTCCGGACATCTCAGGGGAGGGGCCCATGGCGGGTTGGCAGTGATCCCCCATCCCCCTGCTGCTGGGGGGCAGGCCCAGCTTAATGATGGTGATTTAATCATTGGCGCCTGCCAAGGCCTGGGACAAGCTAATGCAGAGCAGATGCTGAAGGGGGCGGGGGAGGAGGTGAAGGGACAGAGGGCACACAGCAAACAGACCGACACCACCCACACATGGATGGATACACCCCACACAGATGCACAGAGCACCCCCTCCACACTCACTCTACACCCAGAAATATACTGCACAATCCTCCTTCTCCCCCTTATAGTCGAATTGCACAGAAACTTGACAGACAGTGCATACACATCCCAGACCCAGACATACCACACACAGAGACAATACCAGTCCGTTGTATGTATGTATGTATGTCAGCCACACACAGAGACAACACTACACCCGTTTACTGCATACTAACATCACATGGTGACAGACATACAGATCCATAAACTCATACACAGTCAGGGACACCCACACAGTCACAGAGCAGGCAGATACTAACAGACTGATATACCCATGTTTGCAAACATATGCTCAGAAATACACAGAGACATTCACAGATATAAAAAACACACTAACCCTCAGAAATAAAAAATCCAAGCCATGTCTTCAAGAAGCTTACCATATAGTTGGGGAGACAAAACAGGCACAAATAAGAAACCTCAAAGTCAGCTAAATTGTATAACACAAGTAGTTATAATAGCATTCTGCAAAGCACTTTGCAAATATCTTTTTATCTTCACATATGTGCTGCTATTGTCCCCATTTTGCAGATGAGGAAACTGAGGCAAAAGAGGTTAAGTGACTTGCCCAGGGTCACATAGCTTGACAGTGTCTAAAGTGGGATTCAAACTTAGGTCTTGACTCCAGACTCAGCTCTCCATCTTTGCCACCCACCTACCACCTTCAAGGCTGACCAAGGAGTAGGATCAGCAGGGGGTACTACATGAACAAAGGCATAAGAGATGTGGTGGAAAGACCACTGGATTGGAAATTAGGAGGCCTGCATTTGAGTGGCAGCTTTGCCACTAGTTCTGTATGTGACTTTGAGCCAGCCATTTCACTGTCTCTGAGCTCATTTCCTCATTTGTAAAATGGGGACAATACCTGTAACTCCACCTGCACCCCTCAGTACTTTCCCAGGCTCTCACCCCTACTCTTGCTACACCCTCCCCTCTTCAGTCCCCTAGGGAACTTCAGCTCTTCACTATCCCCTCTTAAATTCCTTGTTCATTTGTTCTATTGCTCAAGCCTTTCAAGCCCTAAGGCTGGATTATTCCCCACCATCTATCTCTGCCTTTTCTCCTACTTATGTGTCCTGAACCAAGCTGGAGGAAATCAACCCACAGTGCCCACTATGTCCATTACAAATTTGTAATCTAATCTCAATTGGATTCTAAATGTAACAAGGCACCCTTTTTACTCTTCCCTAATTGATTCTCTATCCCATTCACCAGTGTTTCAAACTTAATCCTCTCAAACCTCCCATAGCACTGCCCCTCATCTCATCTAAGGATCTTGACTATACTTTTATAAAATATAAACAAGATTACCAACCATTTTTCTTCTTTGTATGATCTTTTCTATTTTTAAAATGTTTACACTGTATTCTTCCAAAATGTTATTCCTTATATTCAAAAAGTTAGAAAAAAGTTCAATAAAACATATTAAAAATACTTGATGTTATATGCAGTGTTCTATACCTATGGTCTCTAACCTCTGCAAAGAAACTGGAGGTGTCTTCTCTCATTTTTCTTTAGGGCCAAGTCTATTTCTTGTTAATTTCCCAGCATTCAGTACCAGTGATGCCTTAAGTGTCAAATCTATTGCTTCTTTCTCAATTCTCTTGACCTACAGCACCATTGATCACCCTTTCCTCCTAGATACTCTCTTTCTGGGTTTTTGTGGCAGTGTTTTCTCTTGGTTCTCTTCCTCAATGTAGGACTGTTCTAAATCTTGTTTACTGGCTTATCCAGGTTTTGAACACTAACTTTGGGTATATCCGAAGGCTCTGTCTTGAGCTTTTCTATGTTCCATTCTTTTCCCTTCCCTTTACCTCATCTTCTTTCCTTCTCTCTTTCCCTTGGTTATATCTTCAGCTCCCATGAGTTGAATCTTAGCTGTTCAGCTGACCCTTAGATCCCAATCTCTTTCCTGAGCTCTAGTCCAGCAGCACCAACTGCCGATTGGACATGTTGAACTGTATATGCATAGGCACCACAAGCTCAACATATCCAAAAGAGAATTCACCTTTCCCTTTAAACCCATTTCTCTTTCAAACTTTCCTATTATTGTGGAGGACATCATCATCCTTCTAGTCAGCCAGGTCCAAAATCTATGTCTTTACTGACATTTACCTCCTATATGATCAGTTGCTGTATCTTGTCACTTCTAACTCTACAGCATCTCTCCCATATGTCTCTTTTGCTCCTCTCACATATCCATTACCCTAGTTCAAATCCTTGTCACCTCTTGCCCAAATAATGGAAAGAGTTTGGTCTCTTGCAAGTCTCTCCCTGTTCCAGTTGCCCATCCCCCATACAGTTGCCAAAGGGATTTTTTCTGTACCACTAGTCTGTGATCTACACATCCAATAAACTCCAACGGCTCACTATTACTGTTAGGATCCTCTCTTTGACATTAAAGCTCTTTTAGACCATGGCATCATCATACCTTTTCCACCTTCTTTTTTTCTTACCATATGAAATTTTAAAAAGCAATTTTATTAAGGGAAAATAAGCAAGCTCCGAAACTTCTACTCTACTCCAAGTAATTAGCAATGATTTTTCTAGGTGCTCACTTCAGTGCTTAGAAGCATGTTTCTCACAGATGACTGGGGGGGGGGGGGGAGGCGTGGCAGTTAGGGATTATGAAACTCCTATAGCTAATGAAAATGCTCTCAAATCCCATTTGTATCTTCTTCCCAAAGCAACAAAGAGGCAGTTTCCCAGCAATGACCCATGTATCTCCAAGTTTCATTTTGGCCTTATGAATCTCTGAGACCCTGCCTAGACAACCTTTCTTGGATTCATCGGAATGATGTTCCTTCTGTGTTCCACTGATTGTAATCAGGGAATTAAGTTTTTTCCCCAATAGCCATGTCCGTGCTTATATCTGTGTGCCTTTAATTAGTGGGTTCCCTCCCCCATCAATTCCATTGTCTGACAGGAGTCTTGACCTCTTTGGGACACTCCAAAGTCAATGTCCTTTCCAACCTTTTTACATATTACTCTCCTCCATGCAATCTATGATTCAACCATACTGACTTTCCCGCTATTCCTCATACACTCTACTTTTCATCTCCAAGTCTGCACTGGGTGTCCCATGTGTGCAATGCTTACCCTCTTCAGCTCACCTTGGAATCCCTGGTTTCCTCAGCTCAGATGCCACCTTCTACATGAGGCCTTTCCTGATTCTTCTCATCTGCTAGTGCTTTCTCTTCCAAGTTACCTTAAATCTGCTTTGTATCTGTTTGGTATATGCATACACATGTGTGTGCCAGGGGTGGGGTACCTGCGGGTTCAAGGACACATGTGGCCCTCTAGGTCCTCAAGTGCAGCCCTTTGATTGAATCCAAACTTCTGAGAATAAATTCTTTTATTAAGGGTCAGAAGGTTCCCCACTTCTGGTGCATATACACACACACAAAATTGTTTTGCTTCTGTCTTTATATCCCCTCACATCTAGCACAGGGCCTGGCATATAATAGGTGCTTAATTA